CGCCAATTTATGTTACGCTGGCGTGTGTGTGTGTATGTGTATGTGTGTGGCTTGCGGGCTCCTACTAGCTTCCTGTTTCCCATCCCCCCCTACCTTCTGGGTCTCCCTCCCTCTCTCTCTCTCCTCCTTACACGGCCCCCCGCACCCTTCATTCCTCTCCCGCCCAGGGCCCGACCGCTACCAGCTGCGGTCTGGCGATGCAGATCCCGGCCGCCGGGGTTATTGACGCGCTCATCAACGGCAGCCGACTCAGCTGGAGCGAATCTCCGGTGGGTCCGTCGGGATCTATGGGGGGTGGGGGGAGGCCGGGGGGGGAGGGGGAAAGGAAGGGGAGGAGGGGGCTTAGCTACACTTCCGTGGTTGGTTCAGGTAGGGACAACTCGCAGTGAAGGACATTGTGCTCCATGAGACGTGGCCGCCGTCGCCCAGCTAGCAAGCTAGGGGAGGGTTATGTTGTGTGTGTGTAGGGGGGGGGGAGGGGGGGGGCGATTGAAGGAGGCCCCCGGGAGCTCACCACCTTTGCATGTCGGAGTTCGCTGGGGCCGCTGGCAACTGACTGCGCAACTGGCGGATGAGCGTGACGTGGATTATGCACTGCATGTTGGCTTTGTGACTAACTGGATTGATTACATGGAGGAAGTGACAACTTTACCTACGACACAAAATAATAAAATAATCCTTGCTGCGGATGTGCATGTGCATGTGCATGTGTGTGGGGGGGGGGGAAGGAGGGAGAAGGGTTTTTTGGGTGTTTTCCTCAAGTGCCCTGGGCCACACGCCTCTCTACACCTGCTTCCGTGGCTTGGTGCGATGGTGGCGATGCCTCCACTTCCCCCATGCTGAGGGCATACCTTGTCTCTCCTCTTTCATCCTCCTCCTCCTCGTCCTTCTCCTCCTCCTCCTCCTCCTGTTCCTCCTCCTCTTCGGTGCCCTTTAGGGGAGTCTGGCCCAGTTCATCATTGGCAGCCTGCTGATCATCTGCGGCTTCATTGGGGTGTCATTGGAACCACGGGTCGTTACCGCCGTGTGGAAGAGGTGCTGCGAGTGCGGGGGGGGCGGCGGGGGCCGCGGCGGCGGCGGCGGCGGCACCAGCGGCATAATAGGCAGCGCCGCCGCCGCCTGCGGCGCCGGAGGCCTTGGCTTGGGTAGCGCTGGTGAAATTTATCCTGAGGGATCAGGGCCGGGGTCAGGGTCGGGTCAGGACGGCATGGACTTGCGGTCCGATGGGCGACATGGCTGGGATTCGATCCGGGGACCTGTCGTTGCGTCCATGATTTCGGCGGCAGAGGATGCGGCGGGTGGGAGGACGTGCGGGGAGCTTCACGCGGAGGCGCGTGTGGGTTTGCTTGGGAGCGAGGGGGAACTCCGGCGGGGTGGGCGACGGGGCTCTGCAGGCGGTGCAGGGGGGAGCAGCAGCAGCAGCAGCGGTGTGTGGGGAGGTGGGGCGGGTGGGGGTGATCAGCATCAGCATCATAGGGCTGTTGGTGTGGGCGGGAGAGGGGGGCGTGGGTTGCTGCGGGGGTTTGGCCTGGGTGGGAGGCCAGGAGGTGGAGGGGGTGGGGGCGGCACTGTGGACTTGCAGTCGTACATACCGTTGAATAGTACGGCAGGAGCTGACGGGCCTGGGGTCGTAACGGGTGGCCGAGGGCAGGCGGCTGCGGTACAGGGTATGTGAGGGGTAAGGGAGGGGTTGGGGAGGTAGCTGGAGCACCTGGGCGGGGGTATCGGAGATGGGGGCGGGGAGGGCTCCGCAGCATGAAACCCAAAGTGCGCACAAGCTCTTAAGGTTTGGGCGGTGGACGCGCGTACCGCCCCGAGCTAGTCCTCCTCGGCCTCCCCTCCCTTCCCCGCTTTCCCCTTCTTCCGCTCGCTCGTCCTCGGTACGTACGGTGGCGCACGTGTACTGCACTCTCGTACCGGCACCCGCAGACCTCCATGTGCACTAATGGACTTGATTGGGGAAGCATGGGAAGGTGGAGGGGTGATGGGGAAAGACGAACCACGATGGGGAGGGGGTGTTGTGGTATGAACGTGCGTATGGGCTTCTGGGGGGAGTGTGGAAAAGGATGTGAGGATGCTGAAACAACCGGTGGGGAAAGATGGACGAATGCGACGGTGCCTTCCCGCGGGGTAAACTTTTTTTCCAACGCGCGTACAACCTGGCCTCCCAAGCTCACGGACATGGGTATGTGAATGTGTGTGTATGTGTATGTGTGTGCATGTGTCTCTGTGGCTGTACACCATATGTGCGAATTGGGACTGCTGCCGCTGCTGCTGCTGCTGCTACACTGTTCTGCACTATTCTATACTGGGCCCGTGCGCAAACTACAAAGGAGTAGGAGAACAATAACCGTCTGTTTGCCGCCACCACATCGGGCGTTGTGCCCGATGTGCCCGAACAATATCGGTTATGCATAGGTGTGGTGGTTGGCTACAATATAAACCTTTTAGGCACAGCTCCCTTCTGTTGAGGGCTCTCCCGGCTTTGGCGGCTCTCAACGAACTAACTAACTAACTGCTCTTTAGTGGCCATGGTTTTGGTTAACGCAGCCCGGCGGGTTGTGCAGCGGGGTGGTGGTGTGGGGAGCGTTGGGAAGCTGACAACACCAGCGCCGCCGCTACCACCACCGCGCGGGTTGCACACTGTGCACGGGGCCGCCCAGCTATCCCTGAACACACACACGTATGACACATGCCTGGTCATCCCCCTTTGTTACCCGCCGTTAGGGGATGAAGCCCCAAAAGGGAGTCCAAATGGGCGTCGGGGGCGTCCCTGGGGTAAATAGGGTATGTGGGTATATAATATAGTGAAGGCGTTATGGATGGAGACTGCAAAGATACATACAAACGCAGTGACTAGCTGTCTACTAACGTGTTTGCACAGGGTTTGGCGGGCTAGGACCGCGGCTTGTTGTGCAGTCCCAGTGGTGGGGATGGGGATGGAGAGCAGTGCTACAGCAGCGAATTGTGTTCTTAGCTGGGAAGCCGGGCGGCTGCTGCACGCATAGTAATTGGTGAGATTGCCATTCAGCCGGTAGCGCCAGTCTGTTTACCCGCCTAGGTTGCTAGTTGCCCGGTTGCTAGGCAGCCTGCTGGGCGTGCTTGCCACAGCGGGCAGCCTGCCAGCGGGCTTCCTAACCGGGCGTTCGTAAATAACCAGGAGGAAAGAACGGGGCGGTAGGGTTCCAGGCTCTCGCATACAGTTTGTTGCAAGTGCTTATGTCGCCCGTATGTATGTATGTGTGGGTTGTCGGGGAAGTGGCGCTGGCGGGGGAGGCAGGGAGGGCAGTCGAGGGTATAAATAGGCTGAAACAGTCCCGATGATTTGACCTTAGCATATGACGACGTTTATATCGGTGTGTTAGGAGGGTTTTACCTCGGTTAGATATTAAGGTAAAAAACAAAGCCCGAAGTTCTTGTATATTTTTGTGCGGGAGTGTGTGTGTGTGTGTGCATGTGCCTGGATGTATTACATGCGTGCTGCGCATAAGGTGTATGGGTGTGGTGTATGGGTCTGCAGAGGGATCACCACGTGCGGGTGGCCGCTGGCTGGGGGCCCTATAACCGATAACCGCCATACACCAGGGGGTTCTTGACCGCTTCGAGGTCCGGTGCATTGTGTCCCCGTCAACTCCACTTTCCGGGGCGTCGGACTTCAGGAGCATCATGGGCGGACTCGATGAGCTCGTAAGGCCCACCGACTGGGGGCCTGCCTTGTAAGGGACACGTTTGTAGTTAAGGTAGATGAGCTTGCTGCGCCCACAGAGATGGTGTCATCCCTTGGGGGGGGCCTCTTTGTGACGTGCCGATATTGCACAGCCACAGATGGTCTGAGAGTCCGCATGTATGCGTGTGTGTGTCTCTGTAACATATCGATCCGGGCCTGACGCTGGCCAGGGGCACCTAACCGTATACCCCAACGGGATGTTAGTGCGTTACGTTCCCCTTGCGTTACCCAGAGAGGTGTAACGAGTACACCCATACACGAGCCAGATAGTAGCAGGTACGAGCGCAGGTAGTTGTTAACCTGCTCGAGGTGATATGTTCATGAGCTGCTACCTTAGGTCAACAGAGTAGAGGGCAAAATTTCCGAGAGCCCTGAGCCGTGCACGGGTTTGCATAGGTAATGGCTAACAGATAATTGACCAAATGGCAAGAAACGTAAAATACCGCCATTTTGCTTCCAGGCTGCGTTGCGAAATACATCTGTGCCTGAAATACATCTGTACAGATGTAGAAAAACATTTCATGCGGCGCGTGCTTCAGCACAGGTTTTTTCGGGGCCGAATACGTGCCATCTATCCATAGCTAGCGGCAGGCCGTCGCTTCCAATAGCAAACACTGAAGCGGCGTTGTTAGGGCGCCTTGTCGATTGGGAACCGAACGATTTTGTGGAGTGTGAATTAGCCTTGAAATTGCAATTCTTTGGAGCGGCAGCAGGTACGTAATTCGGTATCGTACAGTCAAGGCAGGTGAAGCATAGCATAGCGCCCGCTTCTGAGCTACGTAAGGGCAAGCACGTCGGTCAGTTGAGTGGTCATCCCAATTGACAGTCTTCCTTTTTTGGGGTTACATGTGAAGTAAAGCTTGTAAGTGCTTGCAACGCGCCGATCATCATTCGGCGCCTTCTTTTCGCCCGGAAAGCAGTATCTATAGTTGCTGCTGCTGTTGCTACTGTTTTAGTCACAGCGAGAAGCCTAGCGGTAAACAGTCCTAACAAGGTATCATCTCTTCTGACAGAATTGGGGTGACTCGTCAAGCGGTTGAGATGAAGCTTCGCAGGCCGTTAGACACCCTAAGTTACGACAACCATCGCTGTACTAAGGTGAATAGAAGCTTCCACCTGGAACTTTGTGAAGCTTACGACAAGCTCAGTGCTGTAGGTATGTAGCAAGGAAGCAAGGAGAAATGCATGCAGTACACAAGCAGCCGCAACCAGTGTATATAAAAAAGGTCCTTTATCTCCATCAGCATCATCTCAGCCAACTAAAGCTTATACTCTCAACCTCAACGCATCTGAATTGTTATCATCGCTCGTAGCTGCGCCAAAGTGTAACACGACGGTCATCGCAAACTGTCCTGTTATCGGCCATCGGCAAATTTCAAACAGTAAGGTAAGCTCTAATCATAAATAACTATCGTACAATGCAGCTAGGTTGGTGCCTTGCTTGTGGATCGTACGTTTGCTTCACTTCGATGCGACATGATGGTCCTACATAATTTCCATCGCAAAATCAGCATTAATTGTAAAAATCGCGATGAATCAGTCGTAATCAAGCTCGGAAAAGTCTTCTCTCCGACCGCTGTCGTTGCTAAGACCTGCTTAGTCATCGTACCTGCTCTTACCTGCCGCCTACTTGCCTGTCAGCCTTGTGAAGAATCCACCATTACAAATCCATATCCATATCCACAGCGCGCGATGAAGACGCTGTCATCACTGCTTCTTCTCGTCCTCGTGGTGGCCCCCGGGCTGCTGCTGGCGCGGACGGGCACTGCCACCAAGCTCCGAGGGCTGGGAGCGCTCAGGGCGGAGACGACGGCCCTGACAGACGGGAGTGAAGCAGGTAGGCAAAAATTACAGGAAGCTGACCGACCAGCCGGCCAGCTGTGGGTGAGCAAGATGCCTGTACGCCTAGATGTATGTCTACATGTCTGTATGGTTACCTTGCTTCGTGGCAGCGGAGTCCTATGTAGACCCAATTCCCGCACGGCTGTCACCAGTAAGGTATAGGCGCTGGGCGGGTGATTGGCCGCTCAACCACCTTCATGCCCACCTGCCAGGAAGCCACGATAACAGGGGAGGCGGTTTATTATAATGCTGGTTTATTATACCTTACTAAGATTGCTCTACTACCGTACAGTACACTCGCACACCTTGGATGATCCAGCTGACGTCTCACTGCCCTTTATGCTCCTGCACTTCCCCAGCATCTACCTCCGCCCTTCTGCTTTGCTGGGGTCGCCGGGACCCCGCTCACCCCGCGCGTTGTTCGCACTGCTGCAGGAGCCGACCTGGACATGAAGGATGCCGCGGAGGGCACCGATCAGGCGGCGGATGTGGGGCTCTCTAGGAGGGCCGCCGCGGAGGCCGCCACAGCAGCCCTCTGGCCCTACCCCTGCATTCCGCTTCGTCGGCTAGCTCAGCTACCTGCGGACACAGTGCTCCCCTTGAGACCCTGCCCCGACGACTTCCCCGAGGATTTCCCGCCGCCGGTGAAGAAGCCCCCGCCGCCGCCGCCAGTGAAGAAGCCGCCGCCGCCGCCGCCAGTGAAGAAGCCGCCGCCGCCGCCGCCGGTGAAGAAGCCGCCGCCGCCGCCACCAGTGAAGAGGCCGCCACCCAATGATATCAACGATCCCCGCTGCCGCATCGCCGGAAAGTCCGGTGGTGTCAATGCGAAACCAATCTATTGCCCGTGATGATGAAATTGTTCATGGTTACGTCGTAGTCGGTCAGTCGGTCGGTTGGTCGGTTTATTAAGTATTGGCACCGACTTACACTTTTAGTGACTCCGTCAGCAGGACCTCATCCTGCGCAGTACATACGCAGTACAGATGCAGTACATAGAACATGTACATAGCAAGCATGTACATAGATGGCCTCGAATGTACAGCTCCTCGTCACTTGCGGTCATGAATGTAGATGTGAGTGCGTGTTGCACCTCGGCTGTCTTGCTCAAGAGAGGCGTGACGAGTGCCCATACGAGCTAGGTGGAGGCCCAGGAGCTAAGAAGCCACAATATGCGACCCAAAAACCGGTGTTGAAGTCACCAGCAGAGGTCAGGTTTGGCCGGCCCTGCCGATCTTTGCCTCACCGGTCGTAGGGTGCCGCCGTTTTACCTGGGGACCTGGATGGTGACGTTTTGCCACGTGGTTGTTAATAGTTGCTTGTACGTCATATGAGTGACTGCTGGCCCCGCCAGTGTTCACCAGTATTCATTACGGATCATCGCCTAACGACCGATTACCCAAGCTCAGCCATGCGACGATGCAGGATGCGGAGCGGGCGGAATAAACATCGAAGGGGCGGGCGATGCGTGAGTGCGCGACAGAGGCTATCTGGACAGAGGCTGCAGGTTGTAGGTTTTTTATTGCAGAACTTGTGTCAAGAACCTTGGCTCAGGACTGCAGCTCATGTAACTGTTATCTTTCAAGGTCCATTTGCGAACTCGTCTTCCAGGATGGCAAGGAGTACGTAGAAGTCTATCTAGAAGCCGATCCTCCTGGATACCGCACCCCGATGTGTTCGATATGTAAAAGTCACCACCTCGTGCATCAAAATTAAGGGGGAGGTCTTCTTCTTCTCCTTGGGGCCAAGGGACCGCGTGTCCCCCTCCGGGGAGACGAAGGGGTTCCCCCAGCATCGAGCAGTTACCAAGCGCGGCCGTCGTGGATGATCCTCGTCAATAGCAGGGCCATCGCTGCAATATGTTGGAGGCATCGGCAGGTGGTGGAGTCATGGGCTCATACCGCGATACGACCAATCGGCGTGCTACGTGCAAAGCTCTGCCGTCCAGACACCTTCACAGAAAACAAAACAAGGGCAGCAGCCGCTTTCAGCTCAAGGCTTCCAGGAAATTAGAAGGGCAGTGTATTTCGCGTACGACGATTTGACGAGTATTTTTCTTGATTCTCAAAATCTTGCACATGCAACGCACAGCACACACGGCGGGGAACGAAGTAAATCCTACACCACCTGCAGCCCTAAAGCACAAATCCACACGGCACTGGGTTGTGATAGCGTAGCACCGGGATGCGTGGTGTGTACGGCTGGGTGAGCAGTGCCCTCGCTGCCATCAAACAGAGACGCAACGGCCGTTGCTATTGATTGCACTTCCACCAAGCTCCCCAGCTGGGGAGTCCATGCGTCCATGAGTCCATCGGCGCAAGGACCTCCGGGTAATACACACCGTTATTTAGCGCGGTACCGATCCCAAACTATGTCCAATCCTCAAACCGTACTAAGGAACAAGCCCTGGCCGGTGAACGGAAAAGGTGAATGGCGAGCCTGGCGGTTGGGATTCCCAAAGTGCCTAGAAAGATGCATATCCTCAACGGAGGTATGGGCGGTGTAGCTATTCCCTAAGAAAGTAAGTGGAAGATGAAGTTAGAAACACTGACGTGTTTCCTACCGTCTTACTTCCTCATACTGAAACACTGACGTGTTTCTAACTTCTTCTTGCTCCGTTGTGTCTAAGGGGTAGAAGGGAGAACCCCGTTAGGGCGTGCATTCTTTTGTTCCTTCGTTTGTCTGTTCACTTCATGCACAACATTGAGCCAACTGTAAATTCTGTTAGAGTCGCCTGTTCAAATTCCATGCGAGTAAGCTCGTTTTCGGCAGGGCAAACGGAAGATGACGCCACACACATGTACGCCGTGTTCATGTGCAGCTTCACCATGCTCATCTCGGCTCCACTCCGTTGGGTCACTAGTCTTTGGGATGGCTTCTTCCTTGCAGCTTACATCTGCTGCCTGTCGCGACGTTGAAGTGTCATATGGCACTGCCATACTACAGCCGCTTCCTAGCACAGCAACTCTTGAATATAATCGCTCAGGAGCCGATTTGACAGCGCGGCAGTACAGGCAGGCGAGGCAGGCATTCGCGGCCTTGGCGGCGGCGGTAGCACTCAGATTTCCTTGGATGCGCGTATGCAAGCCCAGGAGAAGACGATGATGCTGGTTCGGGCCAGCGCCCGACAGAAGGTCGCCGACACGTGTGCAACGTGTGGGGGGTCCCCATGGTGTGACCGGAGGCCCTTCAACTCATGCACGCAGTGGCTAATTGCATGGACTCGGGCGGTTCGCTGGTATACCACAGCAGCCGTCAGAAGCTAGGACGAGGTGGCATTGAAAGAGGCTACTCGGCAGCGTATGGAGGCCTTGTGTCGCGAGCAGACACCGGCTCAGCAGCAACAGGCGAGGGAGCCTGCACAGCAGCGCATGCAAGATGTACGGCAACGGTGTGGGTGCTACAACCCTAACGACTGGCCGTTAGCTGCGGCAGACACCCGGCGGCTGTGTCTGCTCGATGTGATACGACAGCATTTCGGTGTGCCATGCAACAACATTGCTAATACAGTGCTTCTGGAGGCCAGCGGGTTGGAGCGGGAGGTGGCATTTGTGCAGAGGAACTGGAGAAGTTCGTCCGCAGTGAGATGCCTATGTGGCTGTGCGCCCCTTGCAGCTACATCCACAGCCGGTGGCAGGTGCAGTGGGTTCCATGACATTACCTCCCCCATAGGGTTAGGCACTACCGGTAACGCGCGACCATTGCCCCCTTGAGATCCCAGGATCGAGACTTCACAGGGTCGGAAATCTATCCGGTGGAGGAAGTTTTATGCGCCCCTACCGTTGGACGGCGGTGATCTGGGATATAGTTAACCTTCGAGTCGACCAGGAATGGAGTTGGGCCTCTGTCGACCCGGCAGATTCCGTTGGATGCTTGTGGTGGGTGCGGAACCTGAGCGATCCACCGAGAAGTTGACTAGGGTGACTGGATGAGGGTGCTCCGAAATACCGGGGAAGGCAGGGTTTCGCAGGATAGCTGCCACGGGTAAAGATATACCCCCCTGTTTCACACATCCCCCACGTGCCGCTTCTGTGCCAGACATACAGCCTACAGCGGGCGTCCCGCGGGGTGCCAAGGTGGTGTACCGGCGCCCATTGGCTGCAATGCACCCCGCCGCTCCCTGCCCATACCTGCCCATACCACCTGCCCACAGTGCCATCATAGAAGCTGGCGTGCTGCTATCAACCGACGGCTGCACAGCACACAGCCTTGTGCTCGTTTAACTACTCGCCACCCATCTCCATCAGCTTAACTCGCTCCTGCCCACCACAGTATATGCACAGCCAGACTCCTTTGCCCTGCTGACGGCGGCATCGCCGCAACATCCCTCGAGAACCGGCACTACTTCTTTAACGACCGCTTCATCAGCCGTCCTCGGCCATCCTCACCCCGCCCACCGATCCCCTACTCATCCTGCCGCAAACGAACCTCTACACCGCCTCCTCACCCACAACCACATCATCACCCTCCTCACCAATGCTGATACCAACACACCGCTCAATGCCTGCCTGCAGCACATTAAGGACCGTATTCACGCCAACCACCTGCACCTTCCCCAGCCCGTCAAACAGGTGGCTCCCCCGCCTGACGTCATCATCGAGATACTTATGGACTGGATCAACACCATCAACCTATAAGTGTCTCAGGAACGCGGAGCATGGAGCTCAGCAGTGTGGAGCGCGGATCTTGGGAGTGTGATGTGTGTGATTCCCACAGGATCCCTGGTAGGCTCGAAGGCCACTGAGACACGGCTGTGCATGTAATGAATTATACAAACCATGCATAAGCAAAACCCTAGGTAAGGTGAAAAAGTAATTCATGATGTTATCTGCGGTATTGGAATGGTAAAACTAGGGTATTATTACATCAGACAGCCTGAGGATGATCAATCTATCACTTTGTGTATCGCAATTACTGAAGATATGTGAGACCCAAGAAAGGAATTCGGTGACGGAGTCCCTGTTGACGTCCTTTCCTTCAGGTAATGAGATATGTCAGTGAGCTCCTTACAGCAGCAGCAGCAGCAGCAGCCTACAGGAGGTGGCGGTGCATGTGCTCGAGCTCTACATGTTAAGCCACATACATGTTCAAAATTCAAAAATACCCTGACGGAACACTGGCAGGTTTAATGTAGAAGTGGTGGGGGACTGTTGCAGGGGTGAAAACGTAATATGTATGGTTCTCCATAGTTGGCGCCCTTCTGCTTCACAGCATCCTTCATCCTGTTCCTCTGCCGCTGATTAATTGTAAGTTCTCCCTGGGGCCCTCATAAATCACCCTCTGCTGCTGACGGCCCTGCACTAGGACCCAATATGTTAAGATCCAGCACACAATTTGTGTTCTGACGTGGACGCCACCAAAGTACGTCACCAAACCCCAACATCCAAAACTAGTTCTCCGGGTAGTGAAGGTTCCATATTCATGGATGCATAAATAAAAGGTAGCTTCTTATTACAGCATGTTAATCTGTTGTACAAGTCCTTCAGTTGCTCGTCCCTATCGTATAGTGGTTAGTACATCACGTTGTGGCCGTGAAGACCCCGGCTCGAATCCGGGTAGGGACACACAAGATTTGTGACATTTTCCTTGCTGGCATGCAATTGGTATTTGTGTAGCGTCTTTCGCCTGCCTACTCAACTAGCCTGCCTGGACAGGTGAGTGTGTATTTTGCTAAACAGATTAAATGAGAGTGTCCTAATAAGCTCAACAGAGCCTCCAACAAACTTGGGCTGCAAAAGCAAGATCATCGCATCCATTACTGGAGTTGGATGCTACGTAATGTGGCCATCAACCTCCGACCTGCCCCCACCCCACACAGTAGTATTGAGCGGCCGGCTGATTATGGCATATGCTTCGCTTGATGTTTCTCTTGTGGGATCTGCATGCACAGGTCCTGGTGTCCATGTTAGGACTGAGTGAACAATAAGGGGGGGCTTCCCTGGGTTAATCAGCAGCTAGCTATAGATATCTCCCCACCAGTGGTGCTTTAGACGTATCTTTGGAGTATCAGGCAGGCCCCAGCCACGTAGTAATGTACTGTTTACTTGGTTGTTACCTGCCTTCTAATGGTAACCCAGCTTGTCTATCAGTAACCCACAATGGGTCATATAAGCACAGACCATGGGGTTCGGCAGCGTGGCGTGCACACGACTGGCACCGCGTCATTTGTTCCAGATCTTCACTGATCGGTGCAACTCGTTGGTAATTGTGCGTGTAGTGCACACCTCGGCACGTCCTGGGGCCGTTCCAAGAGCGACCGACTCCAGATCGAAAATGACTTCAAAGACACACTGCTTAAACGCTGGCCGAGTCTTTTTTCCTTGATCTAGTCGTATGTTTCATCTCCTTGGGAAATCGGCTTGCTTCATATTAGAGCGTCAGCTTTCTATGTTTTAATTCTATGTTTTTGAGAGCTACGCATTTCAGGACTGCCCTGCTCGGCGGCGGAACCTGTCCCACTGTACGGCTCAGCAGCCCTACGGCTATCCCGGGGCTCAACACCACGGAGCATGGGGCTCGAGACAGCAGACCATGACGCTCCGGAGTGTGAACTGCGTGGGCCACCACAGTGTTGGCCTTGTAGATCAAAACCCAAACATACAGAACTCTGGATTACGGATTGTATAGTTCAGTAGCCCACATTCGTTGGTACATGAGCGTGTAGGCTACGAACGTCAGAATCCCTACATGCTAAATGCCGCGCATTCAAACGATATCCACCACTTTCTTTCTTTTGAGCCGTTACTTATAACGCTCAGGTTTGTCTGTACGTGATTGTACGTAAACACGTATTATTACTTAATTAGTGTGAGATTGCCATGTGCGCCACTAGTCCATCGGTAGGATATTTGCCTTCCAAGCAAAAGAGCGGGGTTCGACTCCCCGGTGGCGCAACCCTTTTGTATATGTGTTTTGAATCCTGCATGACCCCTTGATCTTAGTCCTTAGTAACCGCACGGTGCCTAGCATCCTTACACAAACGTCATTGTCAAATCACCTCTCTCCACATATGTTCTCATCGTAGGGCAAGCGCATGTAACCCTCGAGCACGCACCAGCGGCGCCCATCCCCCAATATGCCCAACCCTCAAACCCTGACGAGAACGAGAAAGATGCCCTGGCCGGTGAACGGAAAAGGCGTGGGAACCGCAATTGGTTGTGATATTGGTCCTTCCCGTACTTTTACTCAACGTCATGCGCAAGATGGGGCACAGGCCTGGCCTGCAGTTGTGGCAAACCCACCAGGAATCGAATTTACGCAAAGACGCTTCAAAGTTACTTAACATGCGTACATGTGGTAACTGGCCGCCGACAAAGCCTCTCGAGATGCTGGAAGCGCGTTTAGTGTGTATGCATATTGACGTTTTGGGTCGTACAGTACGACAGCTACTAACATGTAGGCTGCTGAGCACACGAATTCCCCGATGCCCCGGAACCGTTTTTAAGCGCACATGCCGTCGCACCAGATCCTTCAGGATATCGGTGTCAGAATAATTTTAACGAGTCTTTGCTAGGTGCCATACATGGTAGGGCACGGAAAGGAGAGCGATGGGGATGTGGTCAGGTAGATGGAAAAGGGAGAATTTGAGCTACGGGGAGATCAAGTTTACCGAAACTTTTCAATGAAGCTTAGAGAGATGTATATAACGTGATTCAAACCTTTAACCTTTATACTTCCTGTAAATCTTAGTGCTTTAAGTTTTACACTCGACTACCGAGATTGCAGCCGTAAATACAATGATTTGAAACTTAGACGTGACAGGTGGGATGCAATTTGAACTTCTATGCCAGGTTCTGAACGGTTGCCTGTCGGGCTGTCAGTTAGTTAGTTGCAACACTGGACTTCTACATCAGCTCTTGTGTACCGGCAGGGCGTGGATCGACGCACTCTCGCTCGGTTTCCCGCCGCCGCATGCGTCTGCAGACCACCTCCGAGGGCAGTACCTGCTGCTGCTGCACCCTCCCCTCCGCTCCCCCCCCCACCAGATCACAGCATACTGCCTGCACACATCCGCGCCTCTTCCTGCACCAGCCAGATCAGCACCCACCCCACCCCACCCTACCCCTCCCCACCACTATTCCACCCTACCCCTCCCCACCACTATTCCACCCTACCCCTCCCCACCACTACTCCACCCTACCCCTCCCCACCACTACTCCACCCCACCACTACCCCACTCCCATTACCGTCAGGAGGAAAAAACACTACATATCCCGACGATCACCATCCCAGGGCGGAAAACCATCCCAGAGCCCAAACCGGGCACATCCCAGAACCCCACATCCAGTCCTCTCGCTCATCTCACCTCGCTGAGAACATTTTTCTTCAGTCGCCAGTTATCCCAACAGAAGCGGCAGCAGCACACACACCAGCATCGCCAGCAAGGAAACAATCCCTTCAGAGTTCAAAACAATTCCTGGTACCAGATCCAAAACCTTGATTTTATTAATTCATACCAAAAAATCATCTTTTTTATTAGTTGAAGGCTGCTCAGTGCCATCTTGTCGGTATGTGCCACAACCACTGCGCCTGCCTGTCAACTCAGCCAGCCAGGCAAAACACCAGTCCACCAAACCAAACCGACCAAACAGCAGTTTCCACCACACCGTCCCTTCACAACGCCGCCACGGCCTTGCTCAGCACATCCACGGCTGCGTTGGCGCTGGCCAGTGCCTGGGCCGCTCGTGTCGCCTCCGCCGCTTTCCGGATGCGGTCCCTTTGCAGGGCGCGCCAGTCGGGTGTGGCGTTGCGCTCCCGGGGGGCCAGGAGCTCCAGGGGCGCGCCATCGGGCAGTACACAGTTGCGAAGGGTGGCAGCCGCGATGACGCGGGAGAGCTGCACAGGGGGCACAGAGGGCGAGAGTGCAGTGCACAGTGGAGTGGCCGTCAGCGGTTGGCGGAGGTGGGAACCCCCTCCGGCACCGGAAGACCAACAGCAGCGGCAGCAGCAGGAGGAGGAGGAGAGTGCAGTAGGAGAGGGTGGATGGAGGGGTAGTATTGTATAGGAGGATAAGATGTAACAGAAAAGAGGTATTCTTTAATTACGTGGGAAGCGGTGAACAGGGCGAGACAGTGGAGGGTGGTTCGGGTGAAGCGTATAGGAAAGGGCTTTAGTAACCCGCGGCACCAACTCCATAGCTATTTACAGTTAACATATCTTTAGATATCGCCCCGGAGCAGGCAACTATTGATAAATAATAGTTGGAGGCATGATGAATAAATAGCACTGACAGCATGCGGGCATAAGAAGCGGGAATACCGCCGGTCGCATCCCACAGCTCACCAATTTGACAGCCTTAGCATCCGTGGACAGCGCCGCCGTTGCTGCTGCTGCTGCTGCTGCCGGCGACTCAACATCCGACTCAGCCACCGCCTTAGCCTCCACCGGTGCTGCCGCTGCCGCTTCATCGTCAGCTCCACATCTGCCGCTACCTGCCTCACTCACCCCCTGCTCGCCTCCGTCCAAACCTTCCATGGACCCCGCTGCTGCTCCTGCCGGCCCTCGACGTCCCTCCATCTCCGTCCCCGTCCGCACACCAGCACCCGCGTCCACTTCTACACATGAGGTTGCAGCCATTGCCTCTGTTGGCGCCTCTGTTAATGTTGCCGGCTGGGATGGTGATGGTGGTCCACTGCCTTTCCCTCCCAGCCACCAGGGGCTGAGTATCGGACTCTGGAGCAGCAGCTCCGAGGCACCTAACCGCAACCGCTCCCCCTCCTCGTCCTCGCAATCCGCCTCCGGAGGGGATGGAGGCGCCACCGCCGCGGCAAGACCCGAGCCGCTGGTCCTTGCGCCACGGCGCTGCTGATTACTCCTTGCACTGCCAGTGCCGCCGTTCGCTTCCGCCGACGGCTCGGCCGCAGTCACGGTGGTGCCCCCGCCGCCGCCGCCGCCGTCGGCTGCCGCCGACAGCGACAACGCCGCGTCCAGGGCTGGTGATGCCTGCGGCTGCCGTGGTGGATGTGACGGCGGCGGCAGTACGCTCATCCTCGCCACCACTGCACGGTATTAGCAACCACAGCTGGCTTAAATCCAACGAAGTGATGACGGGGTAACGGACAAGTGAGCCATGTCCCAAAGGATCAGCCAGCGCCAGCCTAGAGGTGCCGCAAGATTCAACGCACGACGGCCCAAGCTGGGAGAGCTGTTACCCGACAAAGGCAATCAAGCCCAAGTAGAAAAAACATCATCATAGCGAAAAAGCAAACCTTCCCATTACCATCCACATTCATCCAAACCCCGCAGCAGGCATCGCATCCCTCTCCGGCCCCAGAAATCCGTGCGCATACTTGCATTCGGGGGGCACAGCACAGCACACAGATCCTTTCCCAACCGCTTCCGCCAAATAAAAGGCGCGAGTGGGGTGACCCTTCCCCGCATAAAACCCTAAAAAGGATGTATAACCCGACCCTTCCCCAGCCAGACCAGCCCTACCATCCGACCAAGGCATCCATCTCCCTCTTTATCGCTTTCCACTATCGCATATGTATGCACTTAACCCTCCATACCCTTTTTCCCTTCTCTCCCCCCCCCACCCGACCCGTGTGCCGCCTTCTCTTCTTCCCCCTGCCAACCCCAACACCCCCCCCAGTATCCCTCCATAACTGCATCAGTCTATCCTTGGCATCCGCTTCACTCGTTAAACGTGGTTCGTCTTTCCCCCCCATACCTTCCCCCCCAAAGCCCCGCACACGCGCACCTACCTAGCATCAGCCACTGCATCTCCAGAAGTCTGGACCCCGACACCCCCATGTTGATGGCCAGCCAGTACCGCAGCTGGGAGGGCCGTCGGGACAGGGCGCTGAGCAGTGCGGGGACCAGACCGGCCTGCGCAGTGGCAACAGCGAGTGGGGCGTGGGGCTGGTGTGGGGAAAGTGGTGGACTGTGCGTGGATGTGGATGGAGTTGATGATGATGATGATGATGATGATGACGCGGGCAATGTGGGGGGACGTGTTTCAGACCAACAGGTACTCGGCCTCACATACTTGACAGCTTGACCGACCCCACAAAAACCCCAAGTCCACCGTATGCGGTAGCAAACACCCGGAGTATCAGGTGTGCCTACCCACCCGCCCACCCGCCCGCAATACTCAAAATCCTTTTTCCATCGCGGCGTTAAACCCCCCAATTCCCCGCCGCCGTCAGCCCGCTGCCCTCCCCAACGTACGAAACAACACACACACATACATACACACATACACACGCATGAGTGCCCCGGCAGCTCCTGTAATAGGTAGATTGTCAATGAGTTTAAACTTACCGTTGATGTCACTAAAGTGTACATTCCTCCATCACGAACGCCCGTCGGATGCCGGCCCAAAGTTGATCTTAATTGTGTGCGTCTTGCATATATCAAACTCCTCCTTTCCCCCTAATTTCGCGACTGATTGCGACTGGTTATAGGTACGTTTTACATACTTCTGGCGTATCCGTCTATCCTTGGCGCGTCTCATCTGCTTCACTCGTTCACGTGGTTCGTCTTCCCCCCTTTTTTTCCTGCCGCCGGGGTAGTAGGTTGCTTGCGCCCCCCACCCCCACCCCCACCCTCACATACCTTAAGCAGCTCCGTCCTGGCTCTGCACTTGGCCCTGCCCTCCAGACGGACCCCGGACGGCAGCTCCATTGCTGTCATACCCGCCGCTCGCATCGGCCCGTGATGACCACCTGCTGTCCCGCTTCCGTGCCCGCCCGCCGCCTGGCTCCGCGCTGACGCCGCGCCACCACCCGACCCACCCGACAGCAGCGCCAACAGAAACGCGCACGCGTCTCTCAGTACAGCCGCATTGGAGCTGCTTTCCAGCACGTGGACCACGCCAGACGCCAGCCCAGCGTCCAGCAGCGCGTCGATTAATGCTTCCTGAAGCGGCGGCGAAGCCGCCGCCGCCGCCTCAGTTTCTTCCCCCTCCCCTTCCTCCTCCTCCTCATCGTCCCCTTCCTCTACCCGCGGACCGCCCTCGCAGATGTTAAGCCACTCTGTCAAGGTCTGGAAGGTCAGGGAACGCAGCCGGTCGTCGGAGCTGGCTGCTAGGGCACGCAGCAGCGCCGCCAGCAGCTGACTCCCCCCTGCGGCCCAAGGCGCCGCCGGCCGGCCCGAACTTTTCTGGTTGTTGCTTAGGGAGGCGGCAACAGCTGAACCTGAAGAGTTGGGGGCGCTGGGGCCAGGGCCAGGGCCAGGCATTAGGAGAGCGGTTCTGAGATTGGCTGTTGAGAGGGTTGTAAGGGCCAGCAAGCCCAGCACTACCAGCTGGGGAGTGGTGCTGAGGGGCAGCTGGCGGCCGCCGGTGGAAAAGATCTGCACGAAGAAGACCTGCGTGTGCAGGAAAGGAGGGGAAGATGGTGGGGAGGGGGAAGTCCAGAACGTAGAGGGAGGCGACTACTAGGGGTTGCGTGGAGGTGGCTGTAAGAATTTGGAAATGGTGCCCCGTGCAGATGGGGATGGTGGGTGCGAAGCTAAAGGGGGCTTTAAGTTAGAATGGTGACGGAGAATATCTATTTTGAAAATAGGCGCAAAAGGCAGCGCAAGCGGGAGCGGCAGAGGGTTCCCATGGGGTTCCATCTCGGGTCCTCATGAGGATTATGCCTTCCCTCATAGCTGCGCCTCAGGGTGTCAGGGAGAGCTTGCTGACCTGAGGAGTAAGCGCGATGCTCTGCGGCACTTCATCGGTTAGCGGCAACAGCTGCGGTACCAGGCTTGCGAAACCAGCCTGAAGCAGCAGCTTGCGCCCAAAGGAGCTCTTTGGTCCAGCCTCGAACAAAAACTTCGAAGCATTGAGGCCCCAATGCACCAGAGCTTCCGCAGATTGCGCAGGCTTGCGCGCCGCTTGCCAAAGCCCCGACATGCATTGTGCAAAGCTGATATTAGCTGGGCAGCAAAAGCATCCTCCCCGCCACCCAAGTGCGGCAAGCTTCAACTCTCGGGACAAAGTGTTAGGCAGGCTGCGAATGATCTGCTCCTGGGCAGGATCACGAATACGCCGCAGTTGAGCCTGATCGTCTGGGGCTGAGGTTGCGGGCGCATTAGCAAGCCGCTCTCCGTCGGCTGCCGCGCCCGCTGCAGCTAGTGCTGGTTGATTCCGCTGCGAGCGTGGCCTTGGCATTTTGAAAGGACCAGCAAGAAAAACTTGCACGTGCAGATAACTATTCGCAGTCGTTTAAGTTGGCCTAGTTAAGGATTCTATCCCCGCTCTGACTAAAGAAAGCAAATGGGAGGAGGTGTTTCCTATGCACACATATAACATGGATAAGAAGATTTTGATTTGAGCGTGCAAGAAACCTCTGTGCAGTAGGTGTAATCCACGATGCATAATTCTTCTCACCAACGCCTGGGGAACAAATCGTGACAGAGGGTACACATAATCTTGAGCCCAGGATTCATATACCCTTCGAGAGTTTCTAAATCTGCGTGGCCGTTCAGATTACGCGATGTTCGGAAAAATGTTTCCTGTCCGCTTGTCTGACCGTTGTCGTGCATGGACCTGCCCGCTACGTCGAAGCATGCAGGTACAGAGAATTCCTCTTGATACTATGGGCTTTCGATGACATATGTTTTTCGCGGTCAATGAGCCTCCTGGCTCGTCCGGGCCTGCGAGGCCAAGTTTGTATGAACAGTTCGTATTGTACACCGTACCTTGCATACTTTGGGGGCTGTTTATTATGACCATGGCTGTAGGCACAGTCTGATATACACGATCTCTTCAGCAGCACAAGTAACGTCAAAGTAGTGAAGGATCCGTCAGGCCCGAGCAGCGCAGATCACTCCAATCTAAACCGTTACATCGGCAAAACGCATTTCTAAAACATGCTGAAAGATAAATGTGTCAAATTGCGCCGGCTCCTCCTCTTTCTAGCTGTTGCACTATACTCGGCGCATTCCACAGCAGGTGCCAGAAGTGCCGGGGCCAACAGTGCCTTGCGGCGTCCTCACGGACAGTTTCGCTACACCTCAGTGCTTCCTGAACGGGCGCCATGCGTCATTCTGGAGCGACGCTACGTATCTTCGCCCCTGGAGCAGAAGTGGGTTAAAGCCGCAGCTAAATGGAAACAGGACGGCAATGGCGACCTTGGTGACGTCAACCCCTACTGCGACTTTCTCACCGAAACCATGCCCGACATCCAGCGCATGCTTACCCGCGTCGAAACGCTCATGTCGTCCAACACGACGCTATCCGACGCTCCTGATGCGGATGACGTGCTGTCGTATTTCAACATCACAATACAATGCGGCCCGTTCAGAGTTACGCGAAAGGAACACATTGAGTGAGTGGATGGTTGAGGCATGTCGGCGCCAGGCTGGCAGACAGGGGGGGGGCGGCCCTTGGGGGGACCGCACTGCGGGAGTCAGAGCCCAACCCGTCTTTCGAACTTAATGAACTTCAGAAACAAAGAGGGTCAATTGCTACAACAGTCGTGCTCCATCATTCTCCTCCTACGCTTGCTTGTGCCTAGCAAACTGTGTTGTCTGTCTACGCTCTATCCTCTCTTTGTCGAGCCCCCATCTCCATGCCACCACCACAACTGCTCACAACTGCAGAACCACATAGCCTTTTTTCACCACCGTTCTGAAATCACACGAGACTAGTCCTGGCCAAACGGTTTATCCTCATTCCTCAGTCGTCAGCCTCAGTTTGCTCGATGCACGACGAAAACCACACATCACAAGCAGCACTTTGAGACTCACCAAAACCGTCCTCTGCTCCTCCTCCTTTGCTTTCCGCATCTTACATCTTCCCCGCTTCCCTCCCTATCCCTTCTTGCCCTGGCAGCAGCTTCAATCGCGTGTGGTTCGTCCTTCCCTATCCCTTCTTCTTCCCCACATCGACAATTCAATCCAATCGGGATATCGACAGCTGAAATAACACTGTACATCTGTTTTGCATGTAACATCAACCCCCTTCCCCCCCTCCCCCTTCCCCCTCCCCCTCCCCCCCCTTCCCCCTCTCCCTCACCTTCAGGTCCCTGGTGGGGCCCCTGCGCCACCCCTTCTCCATCAAGTGCCCCGCCCAGTTCACCCAGCTTCCACCCCCCACCAACATTTTCGATAAGAGCTATATGCTGCTCGCCAGCAGGAAGGGGCAGGGGCAGGTAGCTAGGAACAAGTAAGTGGCCTTAGGGGGTGGGGATGCGGCAGGAGGCGGGGCGGGGGGCCGCAGGGAGGTCAGGCGGAGGAGGAGGGAGAAGGAGGAAGGCAGGGACGGGAGCGTACGGGTGTTTCATGGGGAGGGAGGGGCACTGGAGCAAGAATTTCGGGAGTTGACAGTTGGTAGTTGGTGGTTGTGAGCGGAGATTCAGGAGTCGAGTGGAGGTGGCTATAGGGGTGTTTGCAGTGGGTCTCGGGTTGTAGGCTCAGTCAGTATCAACCGAGGACGGAGCGTGCGTGCCTGTGTGCTACTTATAGGGGTGGTGGGTGTGCGTGTGGGTGTGTGTCTCGCTGTGTAGAGTTTTGTGAAGGTGAGGCCGCTGTGTACCGATGTGATATTGGCACGGTCTGTGTTGTGCGGTGGATTACATCGCCTGCGAGTTCTGTACGTGTGCGTGCACACGTGTATGTGCGTACGTATGTAAGTTCGTCACTTGAGAGGTGTTTGGGGGGGGTGATGTGCAGTACATCGAGATGTGGTGAGCGAGAAGCGGCTCCTGGGAATGAAGGCGAAGTGGGTGTGTGTGGAGGTTGAGAGGGATTACTCTCGTACGTTTGACCGGGGGTTTGCCGCCGGAGGGTTCCTCATCAGGGTTTCAGTTCGTCATGAAAAGGTTACCACTGTACGGCGGTTCCGTACAGGTACTACCTGGACGCTGGCGCAGGCATCGGTTACCTTGCAAACTCCAACCAGTATTGGATGGTCCAGTCGTACGAGCAGCGAGGGCTTAAGTTGGACAGGGCGATCTTCTGGGAGGCTTCGCAATCTGACGGTAGGTTGGTTGGTGGTTGGTGGTTGATCAGTGTGAAAACCCATAACAACGCTCCGGCCGACCCTTACCGACCCTTACCTTTAACGCACATAAGTCATCATGCAAACACATGCACATACGTACATGTGTACAAACCTCCATTTGTTTCATCACTCACTACACACATACAGACATATACACACGTGCGCGCGCCCACCTGCGTTACAGACAAACATACGCACAACCATTTCCAGATGTCTGGCTTCCTCGTTACCTTTGATGGTATCCTGTCGCCGCCACCCCCTCCGTCGCATCGCGCGGGAAACGAGTGGCCATCGACACACACAGCAACAAACACACACACATACATACATACATACATACATACATACATACATACATACATACATACATACATACATACATACATACATACACACATTCCCAACCCTGTCCACTCCCGGTGCCCGTCCCCCTTCTGTCCCGTACGACCCTCCGTACACCGCACGTGTCTTACGGTGTCTGGTACTTTCCTCGCGGTGTGTTGACTGCTGCCAAAGCACACAGACATACGCACAACAAATGTAGCAGGCTCGACAAGTCATCGCACATCACTCGCCATGCGATGCATTTCAAAGGGATAATATTTCAAAGGAATAATAATAATAATAATAATAATAATAATAATAATAATAATAATAATAATAATAATACTTGCGGCATATTTTCCCCTTCCCCTGGTGCAAACACACACGCAGGCATGACTGTGCTCCGAGACGTGCCGTCCGAGATGTTTCCCGCCTTCACGTTCTACAACATACCCGCCCCACAGGATCTGAACGACGGCCGAAACCCGCTCAACGTTGTCACCAAGCTGGCAAAACCTGAAGACTTCGTATCCATCAAGGTACGATAACGGTTACAAGGAAGTACGATCACGGATGTACGGACATACGGTCACGGATTTACGGGATAGCGACGGGGGATGTGGGTTTTGCTGGGGGAAAAGATGAAATGCGATGATTGATTTAGTAGGACAGGAGGGAACGTGGAGTCGATCTTAGTTGGGCTGGGAGGGTTCGGGGAGGGGGGGCGCGGAAAGGGGTTTTTGTACGGAAGGACACGACACGGCTGAGGGACGAAGCAAAGTAGTTAGCAGGTAGCGGGCAGCAGGTGTAGCCGAAAGAAAGGTTTGACACTGACACTCACAGCTTGGGGAGCCCACCCCAGACTACATGTTGAAGATACCTCTGATGCGTGCATGCATCGCAGCGATACAGGCCAAGCGAAACATCAAAATCCAAAATACCCGTATGCCGTATGCCGTACCGTTGCACCGTTTATCTGTACTACATCAATGCATCGTTTTCTGCATCTGAATAAAAAAAACCTGCAGCTGGATATTGATCAGCCCGATATTGAAGATTCCTGGTTGAGAGCCATCCTGGACGGCGGTCCGACGGGTCAGTCCAGGTCGCGATACGCCCAGCTGATTGATGAGCTATTTTGGGAGCATCACTTCAACTTCATGCCCATGCAGGTGAGGTGGGATATGCCAGGCTGCTCCAGGGGGAGCAGGCGCGGGTAGAAGGGGTTATTAGGCGGTGATATATATATATATGGTCTGGTCTGGTCTGGTCTGGTCTGGTCTGGGTTGACACTACTGCGATTCGCGGTTTAAGGTTCTGGGTTCGATTCCTGGGGAGACCCCCGAATTTGTCGGGAGCGCGAGATTATGGCTAGCTGCTGAGATGTGGAGTTGAGGTCGCAGTTGATGGACCAGATTCGCACGCTAGATTGGTGGCGATTGCCGAACCCTCCGTCTCTTCGGTTGTTCGGGTGAATGGATGAGGAGGGGTCCTAGATGGCTGGACCCGCCGCCTTGGACTTACAGTTCGTATGGCGAAGTATAGTGTGGTAGTGGTGGACGGTGCTATAAGATGATAAATCGTAGAACTGACAATGTGATAAAGCGGCCCAGAAGCCTCCCACTCTGTAACATTACATTACATATATATATATACATATATACATGTATATATATACATATATATACACATATACACATATACACATATATACATATATACATATATACATATATATACATATATATATATACATATATATACATATATATACATATATATATATACATATCACGACTTTTTTTACCCCAAAACACCCATTGGCGGATGCAGATCCCGTGATATACCCGGGGTCCTCTACAGGCGGGCGGGCGGGTTAGTTTACTCTAAGATTACACTAGACAATACAGAGATGGTGGTTGGATGCTGAGGATGAATGTGTCCTCTACCCCAAAACGCTTTGCTGTTTTCAACTTCCCGCAGCACGCGGCCTTTTTTGAAAGTTTTTGGCCTCTTTTTTCGTGTTCGTGTGCACCTCGGTTCTACACATCCATCCGGACGCCTGACGGTGCCCAGGGGGGCCACCTAGCCGTATACCCCCAAACGAGAACGACCGCCGAAGCACTCCGTCATTGGGCGGGCGTTACAGCATGTGTGTGCATGTGTGTGTGCATGTGCATGTGTGTGTTTCATTTATTGGTTAAGAAATCACTCAAAACACCTGATCTATGAAGTCGTCGCCTTTACTAATCCTCCCAGGCCCAATAAATTCCTGACATGCCCCCCGTGTATTCACATACTTGGATTACACGCCGGAGTATCCTAGGAGGCCTTCCCCCCCCTTCGCATCAACTTACTACGGCTCCTAATGTATGCGGCCATACATATGCCCACCTAGCCCACGGCTACGGCACTTTATGACCACCACGAATATACACAATTTGCAGCACCACCATATAAATCCACCGACTACTGCGGGTGTTGCTGTTACTGCTGCTGTTGCTGCTGCTGCTGTTATGGTGTGCTTCCCCCGTGTTGCGTCTCCGTGTTCAGTCATGTTGCTGGCAAAGCCTGGTGGATATGCAGTCCCAATTGGTGGACAGCATGAACCTATTCATCCGGCTGCGGGAGCTGGGAATCAGGTCGCACTACTGGCAGTAGCAGCTGTACGACATAGCCATCGGCACTAGCAAGTGTACGACATAGCCATTGGCAGTAGCAAGTGTACGACAGCAGCCATCGGCAGTAGCAAGTGTACGGCAGTAGCAAGTGTACGGTAGTAGCAGTGGAGACTGCACGAGCAGTGGCCATCTGGTGCGATGTCCCAGTATATGCTCTGCTTGGTGGTGGTGGGATCCAGCCAAGACTCTGTGATGAACATGTAAAGCTATATAGACACATGTGCATGCATAGAATGCTTGGCTGCTGAAGGCCTGAGGGCTATACTGTCCAATTCAGTTCAGTTTATTAAGTTCCCGAATGTTCTCGGGGCCTTGCATCTATTCTCCTAGGTTGCTCTATTCCTACCTCCTAGTGCTGCTTCGTGATTGTTTTTTTCTCGGAAGTTAAGTCGGAAGGGAAGTTAAGATTTTTGATTTCATTCCTGCACCGACGTTCCTGCACCGGCATGAGTTATGATCGATTGCATCGGTTGATTAAAACTGCCGTATTTTGGTGTTGTGGAATCCTTGTTGTGGAGGTCATGGTGGCTGCATTGATTGAACAGTGTCTCATCATGCGCATGGTCATCAAGGTGCATTATTCCATGGACCTGGCACTATAGGTGTCTGTCTGTATGTTTGCCTGTCCGCGCGTGCTTGTTCCTGCTGCTGGTTAGTAATTATTCACCTTGTCGTCTTTCACCTTTCCCTTCGGTAGTCGTTTTACTGTTGTTGTCTCTGTCACGAGCTCTTCCTGAGCCCCATCTTTTGTTAACCTGTTGGCCGGCATGGCCTGGTTGGAGGTGAACATGGTCCATTTGTAGCCTTCCATGCTGCTTCCCCCGCCCGCCGTCTGCTATCTTGGCTGCCGCTGCTGCTGCTGCTGCTGCTGCTGCTGCTGCTGATGGTGATGATGATGATGATGATAATGATTGTCGGTAAAAATTTTAATCGTCCATAGACGGGGTCGTTGTATAATTGATCGGACCAAGAAATTTAGATTGTGTAGAGCTGGATGGTCTATATAGACTGTGCCATGGTATGATAGACAGGCCTGAAAGTAGATGATATGTCTACAGACGATCGAGAATTTTTTACAGACGATGATGGTGATGATAATGATGATGATGATCCCCTCCTCCGACTGGGATATGACCCGCGAATGCCCCTGGGTAGGATGGGGGAGATCCTCATGGGAAGCAGGCGCAACGTGCTGCATGTGTTGCTGTTACATACTGTCCCTCCCAGCAAATGTATCACGGCCATGTCCCGTCAAACAGTGTCAGCCCAATGTGCATTGGACAGCACCACAGCTGGCCCCACCCCTCCCGACATGCACAGCTCCACCCAGCGGATGCACTACCAAAATGCCTCTGCAAAACAAGTCAGTCTAGCCGGTATGTCATGCGAGCAAAACAGTGTGCCTCGCCCCACCCCATGACACTCTGGCCCTGAACGCCCCAAGCACCAAGCACCAACCCAAGTACAGGCATATGTTGCCGTTGCATACTGTCCTGCCCAGCGAATGCTAAACAGTGCCCCGGCCAGGCCTCTCCACCCGGGGGTTCCGAACATATCGGCAAACTTCTTGCGGGTGGCCTCGACACCTTGAGTCCTGTCCTTCAGCCGGCAAGCTTGCTCATACCAGGGCAACCTAGGGTTCCAGCTGTCTACAGGACTTGTCGCGTCATAACGACTGTAGCATCGACAAAACATGTGCGCCGGCATCCCCCTCGCGTGCCCAGTCTTGCCATGCAAAAACATCTGCAGCCTCTGCAGATATTGTGGCGAGGGCAGGTTCCTTGCCACGCGCACTGCAAAATGCTGTCATCAGCCTTCCACCTGGGCTCCTCTGCTTCGCCGTCGGATCCACTGACAGCAGCACCATCGCACCCACTGCTGCTGTCGCTGCTGCTCCCTCCTGCCCTGCTCCTTCCATTGCCAGCAGCACCGCTCCCAGCACCGGCGTCACCCCACCATCTGCAGATCCACTGCCTCTAGGGCCACCAGCAGCAACAGCAGCAGCACTAGCAGTGCCCCACCATGAGCGGCAGCACCACGGCTAGTTCACCAGCAGCACCACCGCTAGGGGCAGCCTCCATGTGTTGTAAGAGGAAGCAAACGCGCAAGAGCTGTGCACTCGCGGTTGCCATCACCCCCGGCAATCTTTTGCTGTTAGCGGAGACGTTCCAATGTATTTGCATTACTTTCGCTTACAGCGGAACGTGCCCCTGCAACATCTTTTATCGTGTGGTCGCCTTTGTCACGTGGTAGTACGTCATGTAGTAGTACTTGGTGCCATCCCGGTCTGCAGACGGAGAAGCGACCATAAAAGGAGGGGGTTTTCGAGCCTCCCTTTGAGCGCGGGCGATCCCGGCGGTGCCCTGCCTTCCTATACCTGACACCGGCTGTCTGTGACACACGGAAGGACCCTTCCGTAAAAACCGAAGGCATATATCCGCATTTCATGCCGCATTGTATGCTGCATGCCGTACTACAGCTCGCTGTGGTAAGAAGTACAGCAGGGTCTATCTATATCGTACATACAGGAGTGCAATTTTGTCACGCGGTTCCGGGTTGTCGCCACGATGTGTTATGTTGCCATCGTAGGTACGCGCGCGATGCTTTGGTTGTGGCAGCGGGGCAGGAGGCGGCAGGCAGGAGGTGAGGGGAGATATGTCTCGGAGAGAATGGCTACTACGCCTGGCCTGGCCTGGCCATGTTCCTGCCCCGTCCCCGAGGGAACCTGGTCTGGTTGACACATCTGATTTCTCCTCTAACCTCTCCGTTGACTCTCTGACGGGACTCCATCCATGTGCGCCATACATGCCTTTCAAACCAATTGCAGCGGCAGCACGCCGTAGAGGCGGTATAGGCGGGAGGCCAGATGGTGGAGACTCCGGCGTTGGTGCCCGCTGCTTTTGTCGGGGCGAAACAGGTCGAGCGCGTCTTTGGTTTTTTCCCTTGACTAACAAAGCATCAACGATGCAAAACACACGGCTCTCCTTAAGGCACGGAAAACGCGGAATCCGTCCAGCTGGCGGCAGGGAGGGGCAGAAAGCAGAAAAGGAAGGCTTATTTACATCAATTGAGTTCAGTTCAGCTCAGTAAAAGCCAACAGCCAGAAACGGTCAGCACGAACATCACCATCATCATTATGATCATCATCACATCATCATAATTGTCATGATTATCATCTCCCAGAATCAACCAGAATCATACCAGAATCAGCTAGCTATACACGTACACATTCGCATGCACAATGAGCCCACCTCGGCTCACAAACAGCAGCACAGCAGCACCAACAGCCAACCCTGCCAGACGCGTACATACATACGCACGCACGCACAAAGAAGCACACAAAGAAACATGCTGTATGTCGTACTGCCGTACTAGCACCCGCTGACCCAAAGGTCCTCAAGGCCAGCCAGCCAACCGGAGTGCAGCCGACTCCCCCCCTCCCCCCCCACACACAGAGGGTAAACCACCTTTCCATCAGCATCTACCTCTACCTGGACTGACAGCCACATTTGCAAAAACTCTCCTCAGCCTCCTTAAAACACACTCCCATGGTTTTGGATTGGCAACCGCGTGGTGCTGAATTAGCTGCGTGACAGCACACATACATATATTCCAAGAACTAAGCTGACCAGGAACTAAGTTGTGGCGCCGTTGATCCGCTAGATTTGGTTGGATGCTGGTGGTGAGTTGCTGAACCCAACGAGCACATTCTGAAGTCGAATGGGGTGAATGGATTAGGGTGCCCCTCTCGCAGGGGAGAGCAGGGAACTGCCTCCAAGGGAAAGGGGGCCGCTGGTGAAGCTATACCACCCTGTAACAACATCATACATTCGAGACCTCTCAGGGTCGAAAATCCTTACGATGGTGGAAGGTAGAGTGGCCCTAGTTGATGGACGGTGGTGACCTGGGATAAAGTTAACCTGCGAGCCGACCAGGAATGGAGTTGGGCCGCCGTCGATCCGGCAGAATCCATTTGATGCCGGTGGTGGGTGCGGAACCTGAGCGATCCATTGGGAAGTTGACTAGGGTGACTGGATAAGGGTGCCCCGAAATACCGGGGAAGGCAGGGTTTCGCCAGGCAGCGGCCACCGGTGAAGATATGCCCCCCCTGTCCCACACATCATACATACATACATACATACATACATACATACATACATACATACATACATACATACATACATACATACATACATACATACATACATACATACATACATACATACATACATACATACACACGCACACGCGCGGTCAATGGCCGCTAAATCGGCTGCGCACACGGAGGACTGATGCCACATACCCGTACATATAAACAGACATAGCTACCCCAGCACATAGCTCTACGGTGGCATCGGTCCACGTAATACACACACAGGCAGGCAGGCAGGCAGCCACAAGCCGGGAGATGACCATCACCAACTGACACTTTACGAGAGACAAGAGAGGCCACACACGCGTTGGCTACAGCGGGGAGAGCACCGCTCCCTACACACACACACACACACACACACACACACACACACGCACACAGCTCGCCACCTCACCGGTTGGGACTAACTTAGGGTCTTGACAAAGGCGGATCGCACTTTAATTTCATAAACTGAAGTTTTTTTACCAGGGGGCACTTAAAGAGCATTGCTAAATTCACCGCTTGCCTTGTTTCGATCTGTTTTGTGTGGCCCGTGTCATGCGCTCACTCACCTAACCTTTCTCACCAACGCGTTTTTGGCTTTAAAAAGCATTTCGCAAGGCCACCTTAGACAACGCAGTCAGTCAACTTGTAGTAGCTGCTGGCCCCTGGCCGCTGAAAAGGCCTCTCGAGATGCTGGTGGAGCGCTTGGCGCGTATTTGTAGACGATACATGTGTGCCATACAGTGTACCAGCTACTACACAACCCACCAGCCACCAGCCCATTTTAGCAACCGCCAATAAAAAATCATCGCGCACACAGGTTTGAAGGACGTGACTCAAAGTCGATATGGGTTCCAAACACGACGACATGCCGCCTCGCTCTGTGTGCGTGTGTGTGTGTGTGTGCGTGCGAGCGTGTGTGTCTCTGTCTGTCTGTATGTGTCTCATTTTCCCTGCCATCATGCACTTCATCGAAAACCAACAGTAATCAGCCGCAACCTAACTGCCACTCAACGCTGTACAACCTGCGATCAGCCTTCGCCGTTTCGAGCATCTCAAGGACGCCATTTGGTAATTTACCATACACATACATACATACGAATCGTGTACTAAGGCCCCAAACCCGCACTGCGTCTCGCAAATCAATCCTGCTATTTTCTTCCAAAGCTCTGATTGATCCTCCGTTCATCCATCCCCCTGGTCAGGAGTGTGGCGCCATACCCCACACCGCGGTTATTGAAAATTTCTGTTTTGATAGTACGACATCATCATTACGGTGTGTACGGCATAGTATATTCATACCATCGACTCGTTAAAAGTGCGGTCCTCCCCCAACATACCGCAGCACCGGGCGGCGTCTGCGTGTAAGTTGAAAAAAAGATCTGCGTTGCAACACCTATTATCAGTTAGTGCTTCAACCTCACCAGGAGAAATCTAGCCGTACGTGTGCGACAATACGACACAGCTAATCACAGAAAACGGCGGTGACTCTCAGCAAGAAAGTCTGTCTCGTTCTTCCCGCTGGGTCATCGAAACCCTAAAAGCTCTCTAAAGCCTCCCAAAGCTAGAAGCTCCAAAATTATCACCCTAGTGAGGCGATGTATATGTCTCAAACGACGAGACAAACATACATACGCGTACATACACAGCTTGGAACCTCTGGTTCGCTAGGGCGGGAGGGACACCGCTTACTGCTTTTACATGCAGCGGATGTAACATGCAGCGGATGTAACACACACGCACACACACACACACACAACCCCCATACGAGGACGGGGCACAAGACGACGAGCGACGCGGAGGCAGCGAATTGTTAAATCTATGGAGCCCTGGAGCCCCACTAGTCGAGTGAGTGAGATCTGGAACGAGGTAAATTCCCATCAAGCATCCTCCGTGGTTCCTTAGACCGGGCAACGTGGGCTCAAAAACTCCTTCAAATTTACTTTTAATTTAATTAACGGTCGTACGAGCTTGAGGCCGTACAAACGCCGCAGGGCCTCCGATAGAAAAACCCAACTACCGAACGCAAGGGATAAGGAGGGTGTTAGGAGGTGATTGTGGAGATCAGTGCCAGGTTGCTTGTCGGGGTCTATTTGCTGCAGCGTCTTCCCGCGACCAATTGAGCAGTGAAGTGGCCACAACGAAAAGCCAACAGTTCAGAATTTCCTTTCCCCATCGAAACCAACACAAACCCCCCGGGTAATGTAACGTTGCTTAGTTCGCCAATCACCCAGCCACCCACATCTACATATGTACAAATCCACACATACATACATACATACATATATACATACATACATACATACATACATACAGACTCCTTTACATGAAGTAGAGGCACAGACTGGGTCGCGTAGGGCCCCCTCACACCCCTCTCCCCCCGCTAGGGGGAGAGTGCTTCAGCGGTCGCTCATTCCCGTTGGGGTACCGGGTTAGGTGCCCCTGGCCAGTGTCAGGCCCGGATCGATATGTAACAGATACACACACACGCACACACACGCGCGCGGGCGTCGTAGGTAGGATAAGCTTAACACCTTTTTCGCAGGTAAGGAATAAGCAGCAAAGCTCAAGCTCCAAACCCGCCAAATAATATTATGTAATCCTCAACCGGCAGGCCCGGGGACACTAAAGCAACCTCAGCCGCAGCCTCGAAATCTCAGCCACAGCCACAGGTACCAGTAATCCGGGGGGAACTGCGGGCGCGTGGCCGATTAGCAACGGAAAAAAAGTCATGTACGGCAGTGGTACGGCAGAACGGTAAATGAAGGCCGCTTCCTTGCGCGATCTGTGTTCCCTGCCCTTCCCCAAGCTCCCGAGCAAAATCCATCATAAAGGAGGAGGCAAGGGCCGACCACTGCCGTACAGGCCTGTCCTCTTTACTCAATCAGTGGTGACCTCATCATTTCACCATCCATGTACACCCGCGGGCTGTATCCTTGCACGCGAGCATGACACCCAAAACACCCACAAAAGGCACGTCACGGCGCGAGGAACGCGCCACACCACACCAGACCACACTACACCACACCACACTACAACACACCACATCAGAAAATCCACTCTCACTTACTCAAGAGAGGTGTGTGGGAAACGGAGGGGTATGTTCCAACATGCGTTCGTCCTGCCCGTCCTCATCTCACCAAGAAAACCCATGCCGGGGCCCCACCGGGAAGAAGAAAGCAAAACCCGACCGAACGGCACACACGAAACACACACGGCCGGGCAGGCCCCAAGACCTCAGAAGTCCGCAACCTGCAAGGTAATTATGTACCAACCCCCAATGCAGAGGCGGCCCCTGGTATTACCGCTTGCGCTGCGCTGCTACAAGTTGGGGTAGGAAAGGCCCCAATGGCCACAAAGGGGGATCCGTATCCACTCAGCCACAGCGCAAGAGCCTCGGCACAACAACGCTGGCCGTTCATCGCAGAGCGCCGGCCACCGATGTGCACACACACACACACACACACACACACACACACACACACACGCACACACACACACGCACGCACACACACACACACACGCACACACACACGCACACACACACGCACACACACGCACGCACACACACACGCACACACACACACAGCCTGCTGTACCCGCATCACCGACAGGTTCACACAGTCCCCCCAGCGACGCAGCCCCCCCCCAGCCCTCCCTCCTTCCTCAGCGACCAGGACCACGACGGGGCGGCAACCGGGCGCCACCCCAACGGGCTGCAATGCACCCCGGCTGCAGGTCGCCCCCTCTCCCCCCCCTTCCCCCACTAAGGCACGCACAGACATCACAGCATCACGCTCTTTGAGATCTTTGACACACAATGCTACATCAGGTGATGACTCACAGGTCCCTGGTGGTGCCCTGGCTAGAGTCAGGCCCGGATGGTTATGTAACATACACATGACGCATCATTTACACACATACATACATACATACATACATACATACATACATACATACATACATACATACATACATACATACATACATACATACATACATACATACATACATACATACATACATACATACATACATACATACATACATACATGCAAAGGTACATGCAAAGGTACATACTGCTCAATTAGAGGGTGAGGAAGCTCATGCGCATGGGTGCATGGATGCACGGCATGCCGGGGGCCCCCGGGCAGAGTCGGTGGGGAGGACGTCGCCGGCCAGCCAGCGACATGGTCGCAGCTGGCGGTGGAGGCCACATGCGGCGGTGACAGTCCCGGATGCCGACGATTTGCCTGCCTGATTTGCCTGACATAGCTCGACCCGCCAGCGGCACCTGCTCGCGGCGGCCGCGCCTACTCCAGGTGGCTCCAGCCTCTACAACCGCCTTCATGCCCACCGCCGCTGGTTCAACGAGTGCAGCCGGCGGAAGCTCTTCGGGGAGGCAGCTGCTGGCGGCGGCCCAAGCGGCGGCGGCGGCACCGCCGCCGCCGCCGCCACCGACGTAGGCGACAACGCACGAGGTCCCAAATTGCTCCTGCTGCGTGGGATCCGGGCCAAAGGCAACTCCGCAGCCGGAGCGCCTCCGAAACCAGTCGCCGCCGCGGCCGTTGCCGTCAACGAGTGAAGGCTGCCTGGCGAGGCCGCGGCGGCGGCAGCGGTGGCGGCGACGGCGGCGACGGCGGAAGCTGACTGGGAGGATTGGGGGGTTACGGGGCTGCCGCCAGCGGAGCCGCTGCCTTGGCTCGGCAGCAACGGCGGCAGGTAGGTTGGAATAGCGCCGCCGCCGCTGCCGTTGCCGCCGTTGCCGCCGCTGCCGCCGTTGCCGCCGGCGTGTTCGATGAAGGAATGGCGGCGGAGAAGGGCGGGACTGCCCTCGGTGGAGGGGCCGAGGCTTGACTGCGTATGTGTACGGATGGGAGGGAAATAGGCGAAAGATGGAGGTATGGGGGGTGGGGCACGTGGATTTGTGGGATAAGGAATGTGGAACGGGTTACAGGTGGGCAAGTGCGTGCGTGTACGTGTACGGAAACGCGCCAGCAGACGAACTAACGGAGGTGGGCGTTTACAACAGCCCCTCATTAGGCATCATCGAAGTGTATTATGATCAGGCCTAACGAAAACTAGGTAACAAAACCGTACGGACAACACGGACGGGGACTCTTAACCAGGAACCAGGTGTCGTACATGCTAACTTTAAAGACGAGCAATCAGGAATGACCGTCTCTGGACAGACAGACAGACAGACAGACCACAGCACACTGGCATAAGCGCCCACATTCGCACCTGCGGTCCGGAGGAGCTCGTGACGGGGGAGCTCAGGGCGCTCGCCAGCAGTTGCTGCTGCAGGTGGTACGGCAGGTACTGCAGCGGCAGTTGCTGCTGTTGAGCTGGCGCCGCCGATAGTGAAGAAACCGGCGCAGAGGCCGCCGCCGTCAACGGGACCTGAAACCCCGCGCCGTCACCTCCGTCACCTCCGTCAACGGCACCCCAGGTGTCGACATCGCCGCCGCCGCCTTCGCCGGGTATAACATCACCGCCGATATCGTCGCCACCCCCCGGCGAAGACAGCGCGCCTCCGCCAGCTACAGCGGCCACTGGCGGCACCGCCGACGACAACATCCGACTAGACAACGGCTGTAGCGGTTGTAGCGGCAATGGCTGTGGCTGTATCGTCAACTGTCCCGCCGAATGCGAGATCCACATGGCGCCACTTTCCGAGACGCCAAGGCTTCGTACCCGTACAGGTGCCCGGGGCGGAGGCGGAGGCGCCGCCGCCGCGGCGAAACCGCCGCCGCTGCCGCCGCCGCTACCAATAAAGTCGGACATGCGGCGGGACAGCGGTGCACTGACCCGTGGGGCACCAAGACCTACTCCCAGCTGCTGCTGCTGCTGCTGCTGCTGCAATGGCGGCTGCAATGGCGGCTGTGAGGAGGGCTGCGGGTAAACGGAACGAAGCTGCGGCTGGGGTGTCGCTGCAGGTGTAGCACCTGCAGGACGCATTGAGCCCCCACCCACTGCAAAGCCGGTGGCCGCATACGCGCCCTGACGCTGGCCGACGCTAATTTCCAGTGACCCACGGGACGGTGAGGCCTGCCGCCGAAGCGGCAGCCCCGGCGGCTGGGGCGGCACGACACTAGAGCCGTAAAGCGCGCCCGGCCCGCTAGTGCGCCGGGCAGTAGTTACTGCCGCTGCCGGACTGCCGGATCCCGGCCTTGCATACTGGTTGTACGACAGCTGCTGCGGCTGTAGCTGCGTGGCCTGCTGCTGCTGCTGTGCAAGTAGCTGCTCCACAAGCTGGGAGGTGCTCATGTACGGCGGCTTCGACACCGCCGCCATAGCCGCCGACCCCATCGACCGTTGCGAAGGCAGCAGCGGCCGCCCTGGAAGGGACAACCGCCGGTTCGGCGGCGGCACCCCGTGACCCGCCGCCGCCGCCGCCGTCGCCGCCGCCGCCGCCACGTCCATTGCCGCTGCCACCTCCGCCGCGCCGCCGTCATCACTCGAGCTGCTGGCCTTGCCACCCAACACCACACCGCCGCCGTAGCTGGAGCGGGTGCCGCTGCCGCCGCCGCTGCCGGGCCGACTGCTGCCCTCCGGTACGGGTGGCAACGGGATGCCAAAGCGCGCCGCCGCCGCCGCCGCGCGCCGCGGCAGCTGCGACGCCAGCTGTGACGCCGAAATAATCTCCTCAATCTGGTGGCTCTGTAATCCCGACTCCAACAAAACCTCGATAGGGTCGTGACCGAGCGCTTTGCAGCGCTCCCACAGCGCCGTTGGGATGGCCGGTGGCGGCGGCGCTGCAGCCGCCGCTGCGCCGCCGCTTAGGCCACGCGCCGCCGCCATCCGCGCGCGAGTGCGCTCATAGTCCTGTTGCGCCTGTATCGCCAACAAACAATCCTTCGCGGCGGCGCGCAGCCGGCGTCGTACGGCCTCCTGCTCACGTGCCAACGCCTCCGCCGCGGCAAGCTCCTTCAGCCGCCGCGACTGCTCGCTGCGCTGCAATGACCGCCAGCGTGCGAAGCGGCGTCGCGCCTGCCAGCCACGGCAGTACGACTGGATAATCACCGCTGCGAGTGTACGGATGGCATCCGCGCCTGCGCCCTCCTGTACTAGTTTGCCGATGCGAGTGGTGGGCGCCGCACCCTTATCTACGATGCCGCCGGATCCAGGCGACCCAGTGGCCCACGGGTCGGTCCCAAAGATGGATACCGCAGTGCGAGGCTGCGCGAGAAGCGCCCGGCGGAAGGGAGGAAGGGCGGGAAGATAGGGGGGACGGGGGACCAAAGCGCATGGTTAGGGGGATGACCAGCTTGAGCTCGTTTTGGACAACCGACCCGCAACTGCCCCAACTGAAAATCGCAACGGTTTACAGTGCGTTATGGCAGTCTGGGCTAGAAGGTACGGGAACGATGTCTCCGGTCCCTGACAATGAAGAAGGATGAAAAGAGACCCACGCGCTGCCGTACAAGACCCTACCTGCCAACCGCCGCCGTACTTAATCGCCTCCAGCACGCCAGCCGGACTGTACAACAGCCCCATCCCGCCGCCATCCATGCGGCCCCTGCCGTACATCCACATGTGGTGGTTGGCCAGCGGCTCCAACGCGTCCTCCGGCTCCGGAACCCCGTCGGCTCTGTTGCCGCCGCCGTCACTGGCGGCGCCGCCGTCCCCTCCTGGGATGTTTATCAAGCTCTCTGGACAGCTCAGCCGGCGGCTGAAGGGGGCCTCCGCGCTCCCCGGCCTCGTCGGCCGCCGACTCGCAGCGGGTGGTGCACCATAACCGCCAGCTGCGAACGGGATGAGGAAAGGAGGACGCGAAACGGAAAATAAAACCCCATCTTCGGAAAGGGGAGAGTGAGAAAGGGGAGCCGCGGTCTCCCGGAGAGGGGTCCGGGAGAGGGGAAAGAGGGAGGAGGGCAGTGGATAGGGAAATGAGGAGAGGGGCGAAAAGGGGGGGACGCGAGTGCGGTGACGCAGGAGGCGCCCGCTAACCTGGGGAGAGCTCGGAAACGCAAAGGACATGGTATGGTTAGGGTAAGGGCTATGGTAGAAGCACGGCGTAGCTACAGGAAACATATATACACAAATACATACAGATGCACATATAGGCACATCCGCGCCGCGCCGCGCGCCTGTCGCAACGGACGCTGGTTGGGCCCCTCGTTATGGAACGCCCGGACATGGACCCACCATCGGCGGCGGCACGCTGAGCCGCCAACTCCTCCTCCTCCTTCATCGCCACGTCCTCTGCCGGCGTGCGGGCTTCCACCTCGCGCATCCAAGCGTCCGCCAGTGCCACCTCCAGCGTCCTATGGCTGGGAGGCCGCCGGGTCACCACCTCGCCCCCTGCACCATCTTCCGCTACCGCCACGTCCTCCGTCTCCCCATCTCCCCCCGTCAGCTTGCCGCGCAGCGCATTGACACGCTCAGCCTTATTGTGCAAGGACAGATATGCCTCATGCGCGCAGCTTCCGTCGCCGCCGCCGCCGGCTTCAGCGCCTGGCGGCGAAACCACAGCCGCGGTGTTAGGCCCGGCAGGGCGCTGCATGACACTCGGATACTCGTTTAGGAAACTGTTGGGTTGCCGCGGCACGCCGGCGGAGGTGCGGGTCTGGAGGAGGGCCCCAGTCGAGCGGCCCTTTGTCAGGTGCCTGGAGCTGGTGAAAGGCATCAAGGACGGCGGCGTGTAGTAGCCGAAGATGCTGCTGCCGGACAGGGGGGGATTGGTACTGGCATCGGCGACGGTTTCGGCGTCTGACACCGCGCGGCCGTTGGATGGGTCGCGGCTTCGCTGGAGGCCTGTCCCTGTCCGCTCCAAGTGGCATTTGACCAGCTCCTTGGGACGGTTAGGGAACGGCGAATGCACGGTGCGAAGTAAGGGTTGGCGGACGGAGCAGCACACGGATGGAAGGCACAAGACAAGATTCTGACCAAAAGGGAATAAAAGGTGGAACAGTCCTTGTTTGGGGAAGAACTGAAACGCAATCGCTCTGCGCGGTTATTGTAAGACATGGAAAAACTGCACTGGAAAAAACTGCAGTGAGTATCTTGGATTTTGCTTAGTTGTGAGCTTACGCGACCCTTTTTTATATTCATCTGAATTTACCTCAGCCCGCTCGGCCGTCAGGGGCACATGACAAGATTTCACCTCCACTGGAGGAGGCGTGAAGGTCGGCACCGTATGCGACTCGGACCAGGGATCCTGAGCTAAACGTGTGAGCCCCATGCTGCTTTAGCTGGTGCTACCTTGCAGCTCAGATTGTGCAGCTAAGTTGGGCGCTACACATTGCCAATAAGTAGCTCGAACAGCAAAGAAAATCAGCGAAACTTAGTCAGAGCTAGAGCTAAAAAGTTGCAATATTTTGACAGTATTAGAAGCCATTTGTCTTTATGGTCCGTTAGACTGCGCGAAGTCCCCCAAGAGCTCATAAATAGAGAAATGCCCTGACGGTTTCAAATAAAGGCCCAAATCTATACGTCCGTGAATTATAAATTCACGATATGATAATATTGTCTCAACAATGGACTTAATGCCAATGCCGTACATTACAGACTTGCAGGGCAAAACCTCTGTTTTGGAGGTATGCCTGTAGGCGTAACAACCGTACCGAATCCAGGAAGAAGGTGGCTTAATCAAAAGGGACCACTGTTGCCAATGAAACACGAGACAAAGGGTCCCTACGATGCAAAGCCCTTGCAACTGCTTCAAGCAAACACCGAAGCTAGAGGCTCTAAAAGGCTCTGCGCACTCGCCGTATGGCATTGCTCTTGGCCTCTCTGTCGGCAATAATCCTTGCTGAACACGCCATACAGCAACTAAGCACGGCTTGCCACGGACCCAAAACATTGTGAGCGGCACACGCGAACGTGCTGCTTCAGCTGTCATCGTCGCCGTCATCGTCCCCATCAGCGAAATAGTTCTGCACAAGCACGGGCACAGAAGGAGTTGTGTCGAACGAAGTCAGCAGAATACACAACACTCGGGCGGGGGCTGACGGCTCTGCCAAAAGGGAACGACTTCTTGCAGCCTAATAAGGGTGGGGAAATCCTACGCCGATCTCTCCAAGGAAAGATATTCACAGAACCATGGGATAGCATAAATTGGGGCCCAACGACACACACATCTATCCAACAGGCGGCCCATGGTACGCTCTGCAAATGACTGCCTTGGGAGCAAGCTTACCTTTTTCTTTTTACCGTCGGCGGCATCGACGTAGAAGATGTCGTCCTTCGTAATGTTCTTGTAGTTCTTCAGCAAGAGTTCAGGGATCTGGTGCAAAAAGTCTCCCTGCATCTCTATTTGTTCTCCTCCCGATGCCGTCTTCACAACTGACGCACCGCAGGCAAATTTTTTGCCAAACAGCTTGCCCGCTTCTGAGAGCTTTACGCCGAACTGCTCCAGGCCCGCCACCGTCGTGGTGCTCTTGTTCTTCTGGCGTTGTGCCACGCTGAGGACTACCTGTGGCTTGGTCTTCTTCTTAACTTTGCCACCAGGCAGCTTTTCTACGTCTGCGCCGGCTTTGTCTTTTAGTGTAAGCTTCTCAAGCGACTCTCCGCCCTCCTGCGCCGACTTCCATTTCTTGTACTCTGGGCAATCCGGTGGCAAAAACTCATTGAATTCGGATGGAACTCCGGTAATAGGATCATATTCGACTACCCTCGGCGCCACTGGGGTAGGTGTGCCCGACGTGCTTGGCACGTCTGTGCCGTCAGCCATTGCCAGTACTGTTGATCCTCAAAATTCCGTATGAATGGGTCTACGGTTTGGGAAATACAGTCAAGGCTCAGGCTTTTGATCAAGGAACAAATGTGTGAGACCTAGTCCTTGTTCATGTAAGACAGGAGTGTGCTTTCATTCATTAAATGAACGAGACCCCTCAAACAAGCAAGTCAGGCTTTAAATATTCCAAAGTATCGGATGACATTTAAAAGCCTGACGCCTCCAACTGTCACCGTAATCAGTTGTACTGCCACTGTACTTGGCACGGCAAGGGAGTCCTTCTGCAACGTTTTGCACAAGGCATCGCCAATCTAACAGCGAATCTTAAGACAATAGCCTGAAATGGATAAGTTGTGCACTTGCGCTGATGACAAGCTCGGTTCCGGCGCTTGTCCGTAGCCCCGCACCGTGTCAACCACGCTTGGATGTGCACCTTCAACGCACCGATCAAATCCTCCTACAAACAAAACCACGTACTCGCACACGCACCATGCATTCTCCCGTATAAGCCGACTTGATAGACTCTTCATCTACGCAGGCATTTCCCCTTTGGCTGCCAGTTCCCCTGCCCGCGCAGCGTCTGTCCCGTCTACACAATTGAAATCCTCCTTTAAGACTCACCGAAACGTAGAGACACAGGTAAACAAACACGGCAACCTTCTTCCCCTTCCTCCGCCGCCGTGTACCTACCCCGCCTGTCGTACATAACAGGCCCGGATGCCGCACTCACGAAACGCGACATTTGTGGCGCAGCCCGCTTACCCGCTTTGCCTCCCGGGACACTTCAGGGTGTCACAGAAGCCACCAACAGACCTCAATTCGTACATGTACGACACTGTATACTGTGTGTAAACACAAACATACTCTGGCGCACTCGGAGATCGCTGCTTTGCTGTTCCAGCTTTCGCTGCGGGTCGTTGCTGTCCTTGCTGCTGAGGCCTCGCCGACTGCATTACGCTCACCATCCCGCCTGACCAGTACCTGCCCCAAATCCCCAATCTTTGCAACCCTCTGCGCTCACCCTCCACGCCATCACCGTTTGCTACATCTCCATGCGATGCACACCTATCAGCCCCGTTGGCATACTAGCGCCGAGTAAAACCGCCTTCCAGACACATGACATATGTCTTTCCCCCCGGTAAGTTGCATGGGCTGTTTGGCAAGTACCGGCGTGCGTGCCGCTGCTCAGGCAGCACGTGCGAGTATGTGTTAATTGAAATGGCCAATGGCACGCCCGCGCGATGTTGTGGCCATCTGCTGGGAGGCATGTCATACGCGCTTACGCATTTAAATGTTACCATAGCTACGCGTAATGTTTTTTCTCAGTGTTTCTCTCACACACAAACTGACATTAATTCTCTTGTCCAGATGGCAAGAGGCCCAAGAATTTAGAATCCGAAGGAAACTGAAAACGCGGGCCACGAGCGCAACGTGCGGCATCCTTGCCCCTAAGCACAACCAAGTGCGCGAAGATGCAATAAACGTGAACAAAACTACAGAAACAGAATTACCATGGAATACAAAATTAGGAATGTATATTGAGCTTGTGTTGGGAAACGTGTATATTAGATCTTTAATTAGATAAAGAAAACAGCAGGGGTCCCTGCGCAGCTTCTTGCTTTATTCCATTCCCCCTCTGTCCAGCCGAGGAGAGTTTGGCCCTACTGAAGCCCGTACAGTTGTCGTACTACAACTGGTACAGGTCGACATGCAGAAACAGGGAGAGGGAGAAAGAACTTCGTGTGCAAAATGCACAAGACAAGAAGATGCATAAGCCCGGCAAATAGCCCGCATCACGCTCTTCAGCGAACGCATCAAGACGCACATGACGTCATGCGTAAAACATGATCCATACATCTACGCCCTCGCTATGGCATTTAATTGGATCTGGCTCAACACACGCTCATACATGCCTGCGCAGACGCACATAAGCAAGACAGCGGCAACACGTTTCAACTATACAACTCCGCTAACAAGCACAAAAAACATTCACTGCATGCTTGAAATCTTGACTGTCGTACACCATCGGCAATAAAACCACCTCCCTCTTCCCTTCATTTTACGCCAGCCAGCCAGCCATCATTATACGATCGTAAACCGTAACCATGTGATACTTTGTTTTCTGCTCTTTTCGGCTTTCCGCTGCGATTGTTCTTGCTCATAGTACCAGAGTTCTCCAATGTCCTATAAGAGCAACCATGTCGCGCAAGGCCTAGGGCCCAGGAGGATAAGGACCATGGGTTTCCTCCTTACCATCCCCTCCCCAGCCATTACGCAACTGCCCATGCAGAACCTTCCGAAAAAGATCGCCGGCATGCCATCCAGACCACCACTTCCCTCCCACATCGGGGCACAAAGGAGAAATAATATTTTCGGGAAGAATGAACGTGCAACGGGAATAACGCAATTCTCACTGGCCCAATCGGTCGAATTTGCCTTGCCCCCGGACCCGCCAAAACCCAAAAAAAACTGGCGATGATCCACCACAAGTACAAAACAAATACCTTTTTAGAAAGCCCTTATGCACAAGCGCACGTTGCAAATGCAGGCTTCATTGTTGCCATGCAACTCGCTGTCTGTAGCCATCTTCGGCGCGCACAATTTGCTGTCCTCAACTTGTCCCTGCAGCACTGCAGTCACGAATTGACGTGCAGCGGCTAGAAAGGTCACGTAATAATACCAAACATCCGTTTGTTAAACGAACAAACGCAAACAATTCTAAACATGCAAGGCTAAAGGGCCTATTGGTTGTAGAGGACAACCGTCCAATTTAATTAGTGCTCCAGACATTTGCAAAATCGCGCATGCTAATTGCCAGAAGCTTAGCATTCGCAATAAGGATCTACCTCGCGCGGTAAATCCTCATCGAGCGGATTTCACACAGGAAGGTCTATCCAGAAGGGGCTTCCGCACCGCGCTGCCAAAATGTCATCATCACCGGCAACTCCAGGTCGCCAGCATCACCATCCCGACGCCGCTTCCAACTTTGCCGGCCTATCAAGTAAAACTGCTACTATTAGACACGCACGCACTGGACGCAAATCTTCGGGCCCATTTTCCTCGAGGTTGCAGCGACGGCCGCGACCCAAAGCTGCGGAAAAGCGGCAGCTTAGTTTTTCCCGCACCATCGCCGTCACCACCGCGACGCGCGCGGCTCAAAGTGATATTCTCTTGAACAGGCTTCTTCTTCTCCACTATGCACAGATCGGCGCATCCACATATTCCCCGCAGGCTGCCTCCACCTCCTCCTCAGCTAGATCGACCCGTTGGCGGCGTTGTGGGGGTTCCTCCTCCTCCTCCATCACCTCCACCACTGATTCATCAATACCCGTTTCGGGGAACGCGTCGCCCTCGCGCGGCGTGCATGGCTGTGGATGCTGCTGCTGTTTACCTGACCCATGCGTCTCATCTGCCGAATATTCAGGACAGTTCATCTTCTGAGCAACCACCATTCGAGCCGCCGCCAGATCATGACCTCCCACTTCCACTTCCTCCTCTAGGCTTACAGTCGGAGGCCGTACAACGGCGTACGGCTGTCCATACTCCATGGGCTCCCTCTTGAGCCGCGCGACCAGGGGCAAAAATGCCGTACGGCCGCCCCCCCCCGTCTCTAGAAGAACCTGTGCTGCAGTTAGCAGGTCATCGGTTCGAACCCGGGCAGGGCCTAGGGCCCTGCCGACGCCCCTCGGGACGACGACAAGACGGCCACCGCCGTCAGAGGGGCAGTCGACAGGCCGTACCCGGCCCTCCTGACCCGGCCCTCCGCCACTTTCTTCTCCCCTTCCTTCCCCCGAATCCACCTTCGCATCGGCGTCCTCCCCACTCCAGAGACTCCGCTGGGCCCCGTTGCGGCCGCCGCCACTGCCGCCGCCGCCGCTGCTCTCAATCTGCTGCAGCTCTGGGTGGTGCCGTTGCCTTGCGTGCTCCTGGGCCCCCGGGCCCTCAGCATCGCCGTGATGATCCAGATCCAGATCCAAGGGGGAGAACTCTCCTCCACGATCACGCCACGCGGCCTCGAGCCTTTGCGGTGGGGCAGCAGCCGCCACCACGGCCCCAACGGACATTGGGCCCCGTTGGGGAACGTCCAACCGCCGCTCGCCCTGGAGAGGGGAGTGCTCCTGATGCTGAGGCGGCGGCTGTCGGCTTTCAGCCACCGCAGCCGCCGCCGCCGCCGCGGCAGCAGCCGCACGGCGCGCTTCCGCCTCTTCCTCCTCCGCCACGGCCGCCGCCGCCGCGACAATGGCCTCCAGACCGGAGAAACCCGTCCAGGGGTCCGTACCGTGCCGGTTTTGGGATGTACGGCGCCAGCAGGTGGCCCCCCCGGCTGCTTCCCCGCTCGTGCTGTGTAGGAGAGACGAAGAGGCACAGGATCGCAGGAGAGGAAACGAAAGGAAGGACGGGGAAAAGAGGCGCAGAGGGGGGGAGAGAGAAGACGGGGGGGGGGGAGCGGGGCGGGAGGGTTAAAAAGGGAAACCGGCGGACGGGGGAAGTCAGTGAGGTCCCCATGACACGTCACCCAAGGGGACCTGAAGCCGTACGAAGTCGTCTCATCTCTTCAGACAACACACGGCGCGGCAACAGAGGCACATCCCAACACCTTGCTTGCTTTCAGAGCGCGCTTGTGTGCCTGCGTGCGTTTTTGCATTTGCACGTGCGCGCGTGTGCGTATGTATGTATGTATGTATGTATGTATGTATGTATGTATGTATGTATGTATGTATGTATGTATGTAAACATGTGCATGTATGCTCCCTCAGACCGGCCCCGCCACGTACCCGTTGGCGACCGACGCGGCGCCGCCTCGGGTGCCAGCCCCACCCCGCGGTCCTGCGACGGCAGCGGCGCCGCCGCCCTGTACGACCTCCCCATGAACCTCCCCATCGCTCAGCGCCCGGTTGGCAGCCGCCCCCTCCTCCTCCCCCTCCTCCCCACACTCCGCGGGAAGGGGAAAGTTCACCTGACGGACGTACGGCACCAGAGGCATCAGAACGAGCCATGAGCCAGCAACGCACGAGAGGAAAGAAAAGAGAGGAAAAGAGAGAAAAGGAGAGAAGGAAAGGAAGGAACGGCGGAGAGTTCAGTCCTAAGGGAGACGAGGTTCCCTCATCAAATCCAAAGATTCAAAGCGCGATGTTCAGTTCAAAGCGCGGTAAGGCCGAATGAGGAGGAAAGCGTCCTGGCAAGGAAATGAAAGCGTTGACGAGGACTGTGTAATTCGACATCAGACATGATGCAAGCTGATACAGGAGAAATATACCACCAACCGATGATTGAAACTAAAAAACTGAAAGCAACTAACGATAGGAGACCGGAGAGGCGCACGTCACATAAAGTGGTGCAGGACACACAGGATGTCATGACGTGGGCTGACTATGGTTTCGGAACCAGACGCGGGCGGGCGGATGTTTGTCGTACCCGAGCTCCAGCGCCGCGCAAGGACCTTGCGGCTTCGTCGTACGCGCGCGCGGCGTCCTCTGCCGTGTCGAAGGTGCCCAACCACAGCCGGCCGCCCTGAGGGTCGGTGGTGGGGGGGTCGGTGGGGGGTGGGTGTAACAAGTAGGGGCGAAAAAGAACGCATTCGATGGGATAGCCAATGGCGGAGGAAAAGGGCAACATACGGTGAGGCCGTGAACTCATGTGTGCTCCTGTTCGTACACGCCTGAACTCAGAGAAAATGCTGGCTCCCTTTCCTCTCCCCCTCCCGCTCCCCCAAATCTACACACGGGTATATGCGTTCGCACTCGCGCACGTAAGGCCTTTCCCGCAGGAATTTTACCTTGGCGGGGTCGCGGATTTCTGCAGCGAACTTTCCCCACGGACGCTGCCGTACGCCACGGTACCGTACGGCACCCCTGGCACGCGCCGCTACCGGTCCAGGCTTCAGCTTCGGTGTGGGGCCCTTGGGCGCGTCCGCTGTACCACGCGCCGTCGGCTGCTGTGCCGCCGCCGCCGGTGGGCTTGAGGCAGCAGCGCCCCCAGTGGCGGCGGCGGCGGCGTCACAAGCGCCGCCGCCGCCATCGCGTGCTGCCGCGTCGACAGGGCCGTCAACGTCACCATTTCCCCCCGCGACGGCGACGGCGGCGGCGGAGCCTGGACTTGACATGGCAACGCCAATAGACTCTGTCATCTCCGAGTCACGGTCATCATCGCCGCCGCCGCCAGCAACCTGGCCCGGGCCCGCCGATGCCACCGCCGCCATCGCCGCTGCGGCGATGGCAGCGCCAGCCCTTGTCATGTCTGTACCGCGCTCTCGCTCGGGCGCTGCCTTGAACTTTTGCCGGGCCTGCTGGTGCAGCGCCGCATGGCCACTGGCGGCGGCGGCGGCGGCAGTTGCACCGTCGCCGGCTGCGGCGCTCCTATCCGTGCGTCGGGCACTGGGACTAACCAGCGGTTCAGCTCTTTGCGCGCCACCGGACGGCATGTCACCTCCCGTGGCAGTGCCATGGCGAGACGGAAACGCGGCGCTGCCGTCCGTACGGCCGGCTGCGGCGCCAAGCTTGCCTTCGTCAGCAGCGGCCCCGATCGCTGCGGCGGGTCCGTACCTGTTCTGGCTCTTCAAGGCGGCAGCCGCCGCGGCGGCGGCCGCCTTCATGTACGCCGATGCATTAGCAACGCCGGCGCGGCCGGCGGCGGCGGCGAGCTGCGTAACGGGCAGCGGGAGCCGGAGCCGCGCGACTCCCGCATGAGGACCCTCGGGAACCACATACTCCGTAGTCCGCTCGCTCAGGCCGTTCTGTGACCGTGGCCCTACGTGCATAGCATTGAGGTCCAGCAGCGCCGCCGCGCCGCCGGAACCAGACCTTGGCGACGGCGCAGCGGCCGCAGCAGTCCCACCCGGCGCGGCAGTGGCAGCTGGCGCGGAGGCCACGCGGGGTCGCTTCCGTGTACCGCCTTCCAACAGAAAGTCCGCCGACGGCGTCGGCTGCGGGAGAAACTTGTCATACTCGTAATGCTCGTCCGCAGGACCATACGGATTGTCGCTGCCTTCGTACGGCGGTTCAACGTACTGTACGGGGCGGTACGACCAACACTGTGGCGGGGGTTGCCTATATGGGTAGGTGGAGGACAGCCGGCGCTGAGAATACATCTGCTGCTGCTGACGTAGGGGCTCTGCCGAGGCGGCTACTGCGGCTACACGGTGTCCCTCATGAAGGCCCCCCCAGCTCCAGGAAGAAGGCTCGGGGCCGACCTCGGAAGCGCGGCGCCGTACAAAGCCGCGAGTTGCGAGGGTGTCCACGTCATCATGATCATCGTACGGCGCTTCCACATATCGGCCCGCGGCAGTTCTTACAGCATCGTACCTTCCGATAGGGGCCCCATGCGCCCCCAGATCCAAAGAGTGGCGGCTATTGCAAAAAACTGTCGTATCAGGCCCGTCCGAGTTGTCCTGTCGTACGGACCCGCCTCCATCAAAGGAGCGTGCTAGTGCACCGGGTCCTTTGGCATGTGACGGATGCCGTTCATGCTCGTACAAATCCTTATCTGGATCCAGCTCGTCCATCCTAGTGTCCAGATAGCGATCCTGTCGCTGTCGTTGCTGCTGCGCTTGGTACTTGCGAAATACGGCCAGCGCAGCCGCCGCTGCCGCGGGATTGCCGTTCCGATAGGCATTCAGAGCCGTTGCCGCCGCCGCAGCAGCCGCGGCGGCAACGCTGCCGCTACTGCCGCAACCATTTCCAGCGGACATCATTGCCGGCGCCGCCGTGTCGTCCCACGCGCTTCGGCCATGGGCGGCGCCGCCGCCGCCACTCACGTCGCGGCCGCTATCAACACTGTTCACATCGCCGTCGCCGCCGCCGCCGCCGCTGCCAAGACGTCCTGACCGGCGGGCAGCCTGACGCAGAGCCTCTCCCTTCCCGTCGTCCGGCTGTACAACACCATTCGCCGTACCCTCCAGCTGCCCTACGCCGCCATTCTGCGGCGCCGGGAGCGGCAGCGGCGCCGCCGCGGGCGTATCCACAAGGGCCTTATCGTCCTCCGGCACCGGCGTCAGCTGCAACTGGTTGCCCCCCGAAGACGGCTCCATCGGCGACTCCTCGTCCGAGCGCCGCTGAACCCGCTGAGAAGAGTACGAACCCGACCCCGCTGCCGCCGCTGCCGTACTCGCCGCACCACCCGCATCGTGATAACGCTGCTGCCGTTGCTGCTGCTGCTGCTGTAGCGGCGGCGGCAGCTCCTGCGACTCCCGTAGCAGGGGCCCCGCGCGCTCAGCGGCGGCAGCAGCGGCGCTGGCGGCGGCGGCGGCGAGCAGGCTGACTGTACTGAGAAGAAGACTGGGACCCAGCGGCTGCCCTGAAGTGAGGTCCATGGGTGTGATGGCGTACCCCGCATTGTCGCCGTCAGCCGCCCCCGCCAGCTCGTGAATCTCCGAAAGCTGCAGCTGCAGCGTCAGCACTCCCCCGCGGATGGAGGCGGTCATCGCGGGGTTGCCTGTACGACCGTGTGTATTTACCGACGGGCCGTGAAGCTCCGACGACGACGGTGCCGCTTGCGGAGCCCGTGACGGCGGGGCCGAAGCATGCCGTGGAGGGTACGGCAGCTGCGGCGGCGGCGGCTGCGGGGGAAGAGGCTGGCGAGGCTGGGGGGGATGGCTATGATGTGCGTGGTGAAAGTGGGTTTGATGGGGGTGTTGACTGCTTTGGGCTCGTGCTGGCGGCATGGAGTGAAGTCTGTGCTGCGGGGCCTGGTAACTGAGGTGTAGCGTCCGAGATGGCGGGTCGGTTGCCTTCAGGGCCTGTCGCCGCACCCCAACGGCAGCGGCGGCGGCGACGGCGGCGCCGGAAGGCGGCCCCCTGGAGTTGATGACCACCGGGATGTCTCCGCTGGTCTCGGCCTGCGGATGCCGTCGACTGGACCCGGCAGCGGCTGCGGCGACGGCAGTTGAACCGACGGGGATATCACCATTCGAGACGCGGCGTTGCTGCTGCCGTTGCTGCTGCTGCTGCAGTTGGGCGCTGGAGGCCCGGCCGTTGGCTGGTTGCGGCAGGCCCCGCCCGGAGCTGCCTTGCCCCTGGACTAGTCCCTGTCTTTGATGACCAATCACCACGACGGGACGAGCAGCTGGCCGCGCGGATGGTGGCGGCGCAGCCGCAGCAACGTCTACAGATTGGGCGGTAAGGGCTTTGAAAGTGAATGAGGTGGCGTGCGGTGGCGTGAGGAATATGTTGATGTAGCGGTGGGGATTGCGGCAAGTGGGCGTGGCGGGTCGAGATGGGTCGGGGTGGCCGGGAGGAGGCGTGCGGGCCTCGTGGGTGCAGGGACGCGTAGGGCGGGAAATGTTTGTTGGGAACGGAAGAGGCAATTCGCTTCGTCACATTGAATGTGGCTGCAACTGTGGTGTTGGTGTTTAGACGCAGTTTCCTTGCTGCTACCGTGGTGTCTTTCCTCCGTTGTCTGCGATGACACGAAGAGATACGAATGGAACGTCGTTTGTTGGTACTCACTTGAATGATGTGACTTATACGAAACCTCGTAGGGTTGCCATGGATGTAGGAGTTGCAAGGCAGCCTGGCTCAATTGTGGCGCTTGCATTGCTTGACCAACGGTCGGCTTGAGGATACGCCAAAAGGCGCAACCTGTGGCGAGTTCAGTAGTTAAAGCGTAATGAAAATCCTCCTCGCTCAGATAAAAGACCCGTCAGTAGCCGTGCTTCAGTCCGTCAAATTGTGTTAGGGCTTGGGACATAGCTTGCCGTTGTCAATTCATATTGCCTATGGAAAAAGATGAATCATATGTTAAAGCTATGGATGAAGCGCCCCTTCTTTGTTAAAAAATGCAGATAAGCGCCCGACGGCGCGCTACGGTGTGACACAGGAGCGTACAAAAGGGCTCAAGCAACCACAAAAAATGAACTGGTTAGGAAATGACGACATGCTGTGAAATGTTTCGCGTTGTCCTTTTCTCTCATAATCACGCCAGTATGTAGGATAACTTGTTGATGGAGACGGGGCGGAGTTAAGAGTGGCTTCAGGCCGTAAGGTCACATCCGCTATGTGAGGAATTCCCAAATCCATGTATATCAATGCAAGGAGCCGTATGTTCATGACACACCTTAGGGCGGGGCTGTTGGAGGGTAGAAAGCTGTTTGTCGGCCGCCGGCACGGCCGCAGCAAGTGGGCCGGTGAGCCAGAAACCGCCGCCGGCGCGAAGTATGCTGCGGACTCGCGTAAAGCTGCCCAACCGCCTCAAACTACAACACTTCAACTATTTCATATGGTCCTTCGCTAATCAGTTGCAAAGCGGCGGGTCCCTTTGACACTTTCCATTGGTCTCCGGTTCGTGGGTTAAAGTTGGCTGCTACAGGTTGGGCTTTCCCAATGCAATAAAACTGCGACTGTTAGTGAAAAACACAACTCTACAGTCTTCAATCTATTTGGCGGCGCCCAGATCGATCAAAACTAAGGGTGGGCGTACTGAACGTACTAAGGACACGTGGGCCGCAGGCATAGCCTAGATATAAGGTATCTGCCTAAGCAGTTTATAGAGAATCTTTAGCAGTGCAAGTCAGAAGTTCAGGGGCGTACCGCCAGGATTCTCGCCGCTAACGCCTGGCAGACTGTGTTGCTTCAGAAACATAGAACTTCTCCGCCAAGAAAATGGCATTAAAAAATGTAACAGAGCAAAATGCAGAACCTCGACTGCAAAAAGGCGGGATGAAGTGCCACAGCTGAGATTCCAGCAGCTGCAAAGTACAAGAGAGGAGTGCCCGGAAAAGCATTCCATTCAGGACAACCTGAACGTTGTGGGGTGCTCTGTGTAGCTTCATGCACATTCCTTCTCGTCTATGCAAGTGTATCCATCCAAGGAGTGAGGGTTCGGCCCCTCCGGACCCCTGGCTGTGCTGCTCACCACCCGCTGCCGATTCTGGATGCAACTTTCCAAAAGAATGCTGCGCATGTTGGCGGAGCGAGAGGTGCTTACTAAGCATGAGGTGGGCGCCGTTGAATTTTACGGATTGTTCCTGTAGCACTATGGAAAAGGCGCGCAAAACACGTATGTGCCTTGACTATGCCTCCAGGCGATGATTGTGCACGACCTGCGACGCCATAGCGACGATGCCGGTTTGCGGCGTCGCGATGGACAGCGCCAAGCGGATTGTTCGCGCGTCGTGGCCGTGCCGCCCTTTCCTCTTCATCTCATGGGTGCCCCCCTGTGGGCCTTAACACGCTCACTTAGAAACACATATAATATTTTATCATTCAGGCAGCCCCAGTTTACCAGCAAAGACCAAAGCTTAAAGGAAAGAGCTGAAGGTGTTGCAAAGCTCGACAGGGCTGCCCAACAGCATAAGCGACCAAGAAGGAAACAACAAAAAAACGACTAAATTCACAATCTTATAACGCAAAAGCAGATTTCGGCCTCAGGAAGATGTAGCGACCAAAAAGGCGGCATCAGAACGGTTGAGTTCTCCCAGTCCTCACAGCAAAATTCCTTCGACATCTCGCGCGCACAAGATTCTTTCCGGAAGACAGACCGCACGCATGTGAAAAACTTGTCTTCCTGTTAGGCGCACAGCTTCGGCATACCATTATATATGGTTAGGTGACAACAAACCGAGTAGAATCGGCACCCTCCACACTCAACTGACCGCCCCGCCTTTTTCTCAAGAAGTCGTTCCATACAAGTACACAAAAACGTCACACGAAGGGAGGGCCCTCTGATATGGAAAACACGGTAGTAGCCCTGTGCCTGTTGCGCCGAGCACCATCGCGTTCCATGTTGCATGTTATACAAAGCATCCATTCAGGTGACCCCCTATCCGCGACCTATCCGCACGCCCACCATCATACCTAATACCCCTGCGATCTACATCCCCTATACCACCCTTGCCGACATCGCCGCATTCCGCAGAAACCTGCCACTCCATTGCTGATTAATATGAAATCGAGCGACCGCACTTTGAAACCAAATACTCATTGGTCATTACCCAGCTTGAAAGTCACTGGCAAAGTCACACTGGCTGCTGCCTCCGTAACTCCGCAACTCCCGTAACACATTAGAGAGACAGCAATTAGGAGTTTATGACGGTCAGAGGTTTTAGAATCACCGGGTTCAAAAGCTGCACGCGGGAAATGTATTTCTTGGCCCACAATTGATTGATTGATGGATGGCCCCCTAAGGGCATTCTGTTCTTCGAATTGTGTCCCTAAGCGTGTCGAGCGCAGCGCACGTGATGCGCTCTTCCCTCCTGCCACAAGCAAAGAAGGGCCCCCGCTGCTGGCCACGGCATCGTGCACCCTGTGCGGTAGTTGCATTGTGCAACATACCGGTAAGCTATACCGGTAAGCTATAGCCGCGACCGGTGCAACTGCCCATGCAACCCTCCTATTTACCGTTTGAGAACGCGAAACGACCAAATGCAGTTATCCGCTGCTGCTGCTGCTGCTGCTGCTGTGGCTGCTGCTGCGAATGCGGCTGTGACGGCCCCCGTGCATGGTTCCGAACACCAAGGGAGCTCTTGGCCCTCCTGCTGGGAGCCTGGGCGGTCCTCCGCACCGTGCCGGCCCCCGCCTGGCTTGAAGTCACCGCCGCCGCAGCAGCAGCGCTAGCAGCAGCAGCAGCAGCGCCCGCAAAGGCCCCTGCATTAGTGCGCGGTGGCTGAAAGGGCCGCCGCAGCATGGTGTCCGCCCATGTCTGCCGATCCGAACCGGCGTCCCCGCCTCCGTTGCGAGGTAACGAGCCAAAGTGCCAGGACCCCTTTCCTGGAGCTTCTCCCACTATCACTACTTCATCACTGCCATCATCACTGTCACCGTCGCTGGGCTCGATACCTTCTCGGCTGCCGTCCGCGTCGCCACCGTCGATGCGGCTGGTGTGACCGGGAGGCGCCTGTGCGTCCACCGACCCACCACGTTTGTTTTCCAGTTCAGGCGTCGCAGCTCTTGGACGCAGCAACGGCGGCGTGGGGCCGTTGCCGTCCAGCAGTGCCTCGTCAGCATCTGTCGGCGCCGCCGCCTCATCCGCCGGCTGTACGAACACACTGGGACGGCACCTTCCCATGGGCCCCGTCGGTGCCGAGGGCGTATTAACCAACATCCCGGTGCGGCCGGCGGAGACGCGACGTTTCGGTGCACTTCTGATAAAGGCAAAGTCCGCTAGGGGTCTTACTGCCGGCGCCGCCGCGGCGGCAGCTGCTGATAGCTTGCCGACGGCGCCGGCGCCGCTGTCCAGCGAGCCACCCCTTCCCCGTTGCTGCAGTGCCTGTGAGGGCAGCGGAGAAAGCCGCCGTGCAATAACCGGCTGCTGCACCGCCAGGCTGCATTCCAGCGAGTCCAGCGCCCGTTTCGCCACCGCTGCAAAATGTGCCACGTGCTTGAGGGAGTGAAACCCCGCCGAGAAGCCATCACCTGAGGCCGCCGCACTGCCATTCGCCCTCACGTCTGCCGTGACCTGCACCTCGTCATCGCCGGAGTAATCTGC